ATTCCAACAAATATAAACTTAGTAGTGTTTCAATGGAAAGTGTGGGCCGGCTTTTGGCTGATGAGATAGGATTGTTGTTATTGTTGTGTGCTTTCAAGTCGTTTCAGACTTAGGTTGGTCTTCAGTGAGGGCCGGGTACATGACCTTGGAGGACCATATCCACCCCTCGGGCCTTAGTTTGGGGACCCCTGAGCTAGAAGAACCATACATGATGTTGCAACTGCAGTTAGAAACTGGGAGCTATTAAGAGCCCTTTCGTATCACAGAACTATAGCAGAATAATGGTTATGTATTACCCACGAAGACTCTATCTAATTATCCTATGGGACCCTGCAGTTTAGGAGGAACTAGAACTATCTATATGCAAAATCTTAAGTACCCACCATAAACAGCCCAGTCAAAATGTCATAGCTGCCATGGTAGTTAAAGTGCAGTTGTAGTGCTTTGACTATGTCATATGAAAGGATCCTAGATATTATTTGGGTTATATGTTTCATTTTTAATCTTCATATTTTCTGGAGTACAGTAGGGCCCCTTCTATACTGCTATATAAAATCCAGATTATCTGCTTTGAACTGGATTATATGGCAGTGTAGACTCATATAATCCAGTTCTGAACAGATAATCTGGATTATCTGCTTTGAAAATCTGAGTTATATGACAGTGTAGAAGGGGGCTAAGTCACAGTGTTGAGGGATGAGGCATATTTACACTTTCTCACGTGAAGCATTTAAGACCAAAGTCCACTCCTGATTATCCCAAACTTTCATTTCAGCACCCTGAGATGGAAAAAGTCATTTTGCTGTTACTGTCATGAAACAACTGGGAATTGAGACTATTTGGTGATCTACATTCCTCGTTTTCCCAAGGTATTATGCTCTCCACATCTCTCTCTCTAAGGTCAAATGGTTGTCTAGTGAGATCTTTTGAAAATGGCACATCTTTTAGTTCTTGACAAAAATCAAAACTGGGATTTCGAACTTGCTGCTATAGTTGTGTCATTGGAACAGTTTAGCCATGATTGATGAAACTTGCATTGACACAATGAGTGGTTACAGTACAGTGCCAAAATGTTATGGCTTCAGTTAAGTGAAAAAAAACCCATCTGGAGTATGCAGTTATTCCTTCCAGCTCTGAGTTGCCACTCTTAGGTCATGTTCAAGTAGATTTTTACTGCTCCGAAATAAAGGGCTATTATATCTTGACAGAATAACTACTCCACGCCAGCCCACAATGCTGTGCCACATTATGGAAATGATTCCATGGAATTACACCCTACTAGTTCCCAACAGGTTTAAGTCATTATCATGTTAAGGTGAAAAATGAGAACCTTCTTCATCTTTGGCACTCTCAAAGGCTGACTTCCTCATGATGTAAAGTAATGGCAGAGATCTCCATATCTTGCCCTGGTGCCATTTCTTATCAGTAGTGACAGAACTAGAAGGGTTCCAATAAGAGATATGGCCAAAATGCAATCCAGAATTCTTGCTCATTACCATATAAGTATAAACATATGTTAGATCAAGGTTTTATAGAAGTGGGGCTCCAACCAAAGGATTATTTTATTTCATTAATAGCATCTGAAGATGAATGGGTTATTTTAGGAGAGGGGATCAAGGTCTTTCCATGAGCTGGTTCACATGCACATAGCATGTCACAGTTGCTCAAGATCTGATTCCTCTCAGTGGAATATAGAAACTATATATTGGATCTTGAGGGAATATGAAAGTTATCCATTTTATGGTTTAGTCCAAAGGTTCCCAACCTGTGGTCTGTGGACCACCAGTGGTCCCCAAGAACTAAAATATGGTCTGCAGCCTCATATATATATATAGTTCCACTATATAGTTTCTATATTCCACTAATATATATATATATATATATATATATATATATATAGTGGAATATAGAAACTATATAGTGGAACTAGCTGTACCCTCCCTCCCTATACATACCCTCCTCCTCCCTCTTTCCTTCCTTTCCTCTTTTTCTTTCCCTTCTTCTTTCCTCCTTCTCTACCTGTTTCTTTTCTTGCTTCCTTTGCTCTCTGGTTCCTTCCTTCCTTCCTTCCTTCCTTCCTTCCTTCCTCCTTCCTCTCCTTCTTTCCTTCCTCTTCCTTCTTCCTTCCTTCCCTCTTTCACTTTTTTTATTCTCCCCTTCCTTTCCTCTCTTTCTCTCCTCCTCCCTCCTTCTTCCTCTTTCTTCCTCCTTTCTCTCCTTCCTTCCTTCCTACTTCCTTCCTTCCTTCCTTCCTTCCCCCTTTCTGTGTATGTGTTTTTTGTGTGTATATATTTCTGTATGCATTTGTGTATATATGTGTGTTTGTGTATATATGTGGTTTTGCCCATGTGTTGTAATGCATTCTTTGTTTTTGTTTTTGGGTTTGTTTGGGGTTTTTTTTTTTGCTTTTTAAGTCCCTTCCTTTGTGTTTTTCAGTGTTTTTATGAGTGATGGTTACTCATTGGCCTGAAAGTTGTATTGTGTCCAAATTTTGTGTCAATTCGTCTAGTGGTTTTTGAGTAATGTCAATCCCACAAACAAACATTACATTTTTATTTATATAGATGTAGAAACTATAGTGGAATAGAGAAACTATATATTGGATCTTGGGGGAATATGAAAGTTATCCATTTATATAGATGTAGAAACTATAGTGGAATATAGAAACTATATATTGGATCTTGGGGGAATATGAAAGTTATCCGTTTTATGGTTTAGCCCAGTGGTTCCCAACCTGTGGTCTGTGGACCACCAGTATTCCCCACGAACTAAAATATGCTCCACAGCCTCACCGTTGCCACAAGAGAGAATGGTCTCATGAAACCCTCTTATAGTCCCGAGGCAACAGGGATATTGCGAGGGGAGAGGCTAACTACCCATGAAAGGCCTGTTCCTGGGGTTATTTGGGGTGCTGATTCAAAAAAATTGCATTGATAGACCACAACAGTTCTAGATTATTAAATATGGTTTTCTGTGGGTAGATGGCGACTACTGGATGGCATATGTTCTGTATCAGAGCTGATGTGGCCTATCCAATGCAATTTTCTGAATCAGTACCCCAAATAACTAAACCGAATCTAAAGTTGACCAAAAACTGATTCGCTGAGTTGCTGAGCTTGATGACCGAAAGGTCACAGATTCGAATCCGGGGAGCGGCGTGAGCTTCCGCTGTCAGCCCCAGCTTCTGCCAACCTAACAGTTCGAAAACATGCAAACGTGAGTAGATCAATTGGTACTGCTCCGGCGAGAAGGTAACAGCGCTCCATGCAGACATGCCAGCCACATGACCTTGGAGATGTCTACAGACAATGCTGGCTCTTCAGCTTGTAAATGGAGATGTGAACCAACCCCAGAGTCAGACACGACTGGACTTAGGGGACAACCTTTACCTTTATCTTTACCCTTTTGGTACCAATGTTAGAAAATAGTCCCTGGTCAAGCGGTCACCTCTGGTTTGGTCATATATGTAAGCCACAGAAGAGACAGTGGGTTTAAGGATGCAATCATAATGTTAAATCCAATGAAAAAATGAGAAGAGACGGCATATTGCTAGCTAAATTTATCTAACTCTTCTTCATAGGAAAGAGCAATGATTTTTCCTCATCAACCAGCATAAGTATCCAGATTTACTCTGGTTAGAAAATTCATTATCTCACTCAAGCCCAGAGCTTTTTTCCTCTACCAATATTTCTTTATCTCCCCTTTCCTACTGACTGAGCCAACAATTCCCCCCCCCCATTTATTCCAAAACCTTTTCTCCATCCCATAAAAGTAAATGCTCTTTCTCCTCTCTCATCAACCCAGGTGATTATTCTAGTCTCTACCCTACTTTATTGTCTATTCTTTTCTTCTCTTGTGTGTTTGTGTGCCTTCAAGTCACCTGTTGAGTTAAACCCATAGGGTTTGCTTAAACAACTTGCCTCATCAAACTAGAGAATGAATCCACTTTAAATCCAGTTGCTGCGTCCTGCAGAATTCTGGGTTTTGTAGTTTAGGGAGGAGTCTTTAACAGGTTCACTAAACTACAAACCCCAGAATTGTGCAGGAGGTAGAAACTGGATTTAAAATGAATTCATTCTCTAGTGTGATGAAGTAGAACGTATACTCAGAAGTGGCTTTGCGGGTTCCTTTCAATGAAATAAAGCCCAAAGCACTTAGTATTTGTTGGTGGTCTCGGCCTCCCACCCTCCTTGCCCCACAAAGCCCCCCTCTCTTTCCCTATATATTGGTCTCTCTCGCTTTCTCCTTACTGGGCAGGGAAAATCTTCTCCACATTTCATTTTTTTTGAAAAGTTCAGAGTCTTGTCGAAGGCTTTCATGGCTGGAATCACTCAGTTCTTGTGGGTTTTTTCGGGCTATATGGCCATGTTCTAGAGGCATTTCTCCTGACGTTTCGCCTGCATCTATGGCAAGCATCCTCAGAGGTGAGGTCCTCTGAAGACCTCACCTCTGAGGATGCTTGCCATAGATGCAGGCGAAACGTCAGGAGAAATGCCTCTAGAACATGGCCATATAGCCCGAAAAAACCCACAAGAACTGAGTTCAGAGTCTTGTCAAGCAAAGCTTCTCGCTCATGTGAAGTTGCCTGCAGGCCTTCTGGAGAAAGTGATACTTAAGGCCTATTTGCAGTATTAGGGTAGGCAGTGAATCAGAATGGCACTGTAGACTCTAGACCCAAATTAACTACAATTAATTCCTTTAAACACTAAATAACCCTGAAATGCACATAAATAAATAAATAAACACTGTGTGTGTGTCAAGTTCTAGGTGTTTAGGTATCCTGACCTTAGAACTATCGTGGAAATACTTTCATCAAAGGGTACAATACCACCTTTATCAAAGGATACAATTACAACTGCATTTTTTACCCTGAAGATAATAATCACAATGCTACATTATAATAAAAAAAATGTTTCGCTTTATTTGATTGTTTTGTTCATAAAGTTGAGCCACAATAATGCAAAGTTTCCTGATATCCTTGTGACCTTTTAAACCACACTGGGTACAGTGTTTTAAAAAGAAATTGCACTATGCCTTATTTTGTAAAAAACAGAAGTAACAATTTGAGATCAAGAAGTAGAATACTTTTAAGGTTGCAATCCTATAAACACTTATCTAAATCCCAGTAAACCCAGTGAATAAACATGGACATGATTCCTGTATTAACAGAATGGTGCCTCTAAGGTCCCTTACACATAGCTGAATAAAATTTCTGGATTATATGGCAGTGTGGACTCAGATAGCCCAGTTCAAAGCAGATATTGTGGGAGTTTCTGCCTTTATATTTGGGGTTATATGAGTGTTGGGAAGGGCCCTAAGGAGCAAGGGAAAGTTGAAAGATTTTTTTCTGAAATAACATTTGAAAAAGAAACTCAGAGACATACCATTTTCTTATGCTAATAATGCTATAAAAGTAAAAATACAGAAGAACATTGGCTCTTGCAGCTGTCATTACCCAATCATTCTTAAATAGCAGCTAAAATCTTAGAAGCAGGTTTGAAACAAAAGAATAAGGGTCTAGAGGAGTCATTCTATGGATAAAAGTAGTTTTTTCAGCAGAACCAAGAAGGGTTTCCTTCCAGCAGTCTGTCCCACCTGAAAATCTGGAGCACATCTCAACAGAACTGAGGGCCTTTCCCCACATCCCCATATCCTTGAATATCAAGGCAGAAAATTTCACGTTATCTGAGTGTGGACTCAGATAACCCAGTTCAAAGCAGATATTGTGCGATTTTCTGTTTTGATATTCTGGGATATAGGGCTGTGTGAAATGGCCTTGGGAGAATATAGGGATAGGGAGGAAACCACTGCATCCTTCCCAAGACAAGAACTGGAAGACTGGCATGATAAGTGTGCTGCTTGTTTTGGTCAATATATTTATTTGGTCCACAAGTGGAGGCTGCCGTCCTTATTGCCAGACAAAGGATGTTTGTTTCCCTTAACGAGGTGAAAATGGATTCACAATCTTCATAGACAGGTAGTTCTACAAGAATAAAAACAAAATAAAAGTAAATTTAACAAAGTAAATTAGTAAAAGGCAGAGAAGGTTGCTGCTACTATGAAGTCAGTAGGACATCTCAGGTAAGCTCAAGCTGGATCCACACTTCCCTATATCTCAGGATCTGATCCCAGATTATCTGGCAGTGTAGATTCATATAAAGCAGATAATGTGAGATCAGATCCTGGGATATAGGGCAGTGCAGATCCAGCCTCAGATTCTCATCAGTATCTATATTTCAGAGATGATGTTAAGGAGTGTTTGTTGTTGTTTACTCGTTCAGTCGCTTCCAACTCTTCTTGACCTCACGCCAGAGCTCCCTGTTGGCCGTCTCCAACCCCAGCTCCTTCAGAGTCAAGCCAGTCACTTCAAGGATACCATCCATCTTTCCCTTGGTCAGCCCCTCTTCCTTTTTCCTTCCATTTTCCCAAGCATCCTTGTCTTCTCTAAGCTTTCCTGTCTTCTCATGATGTGGCCAAAATACTTCATCTTTGCCTCTAATATCCTTCCCTCCAATGAGCAGTTGGGCTTATTGTTACTCATGTTAAAGAGTACTGGGAGATAATGTAATGCTATTATTTTGAACCACTGGAAGTTCTGAGTTAGTATCAGTTTTACAAAGAATACAGTGGTTATAACTTCTACATCTCTACATTTTAAATAATTTGAGAGGAGCAATTGCCCTCCACTATTTGTCAGGGATTATCATCACATTTATAACCATTAGCTACTATTCTTTCTTTCTTTTTTCCTGGAAACTCGTCAGGGAAAAGCAGCCAAGTCTTATTGATCAGCACTGGATCCACAGATCACCATTTTGAGTAGCACTGCCCTGCACAATTGATTGACTATAGACTATTATCTCTCTTTTTAAACTGATGAAAAAATTTATAAAACCAGGCCTTCTTTGTGGGGTTGAACACAATAAGGGCATTTGGGGGCTTGCCAGTGGTGTTTCTTATTACACTACGTTACATGATTTTTGTTCCTGGGTTATAAAGGTCATTTGCTAATTGGTTCTATCATAAAAGCATGGAAAAAGCTTATTAAGCTGCAAAAACTTTCTTTTTCTGGGAGTTCCTTCAGCACATTTTGCTATAGTTTCTCAATGAATATCTCATTGAGTCTCAACTAATTCAACATAGTTTGTGGCAGCTACAAAAACGACGTTTCTGGAGTTTAACAACTACTTTCAAAGAAAGTACTTGTCCGCCCATTTCCGAGCACAATTCAAAGTGCTGGTCTTGACCTATATGGTTCCGGCCCAGCGTACCTGTCCGAACACATCTCCCTCTACGTCCTGCCTTGCAGTTTAGATTGTCCGGGGAGGCCCTGCTCTCGGTCCCACCAGCCTCGCAAGTGCGCTTTGCAGGGACGAGGGACAGGGCCTTCTCGGTGGTGGCCTCACGCTTATGGAACTCGTTCCCCAGCGAGATCAGGTCAGTGACTTCCCTCCTTTCTTTTAGGAAAAAGGTTAAATCATGGTTCTGGATCCAGGCCTTTGGACAGCAAGCATGACAGCACTTTGGATCGGACTAGAATTGGCTATATTCATTGTTGGCAATGTGACAATGGGATTTTAATCTGTTTTACTTTCATKCACTGTTTTAAATTGATGTTTTATTTGTTATAGTGTTTTATCTTGTGGCATCGAATTGTTGCCGCCCTGAGTCCCCCCCCCCCCCCGGGGGGTTGAGAAGTGTGGGTTAGAAATGTTTGAAATAAATAAATAAACTAACACTTTCAAACCATGAACAGAAAAGTTTTCAAATTTTGTTACATAGTGTAATTGCAATTCAATTGATTTCAGTGCATCTTACTCTCAAAATATGGCTAAAATCTAGCACCAACTAATAACCTAAAGTATATTGAATAAATCCAAGCATTAAAAATAATACATGTCACAATGCTGTAAGAAGTTTTGTTTGGTCAGGTGGAAATATCCCAAACACAGACCAGGAAGATGAAAGTCACAAGCAAAGCAATAGTATATATTCTAGCATACATACCGGCAATGAATATAGAAGAATTGCTACAAATAAAAGCACAATCAGCAAGATGATGATTCCAATGAAGACCCACTTAAATCTGCGCCACACAATGAATTTCATGGTCTTGCATGGATTTGTGAACCAGAGGAAGGATGTTTCTGGTCGGCTATAGTTGGAGAGAAAAATAAAAACAACTAAGTACTGAGAAATGAACCTACTGACACTCAAAGACTATGTTGTCCACCTCTATTTTGTCTTCTTCATCCAGAGCCACCATTTTGAACTGGTACAAAAGACTGTCCCTTTGAGGGAAAAGAATGATAGGACCTTTCATAAACAAGGTCTTTTTCTACCTGAAGCAAAAGAGTGGTGGCACTGTTCCCATTTCCCAGACAGAGGTTAGCAAGACTGTCGGTTTCATCTTACTTGACCACTGGAAATGAGACACGTTTTTCCAATGCTTCTGAGAACATCAGACAAACTGAGCATAAGGCTATTTACGTGGCACTTAGATGTGTCTTTCAACATCTGTTGCTATTCCTCCAAACCAATAGTCTAACTATGATGCTCCACGGTATTGGATGATAACACATCAAATAACTAAACGTTTCTGGCCTAGCTTACCTATACGAATGAATCTCCCCCTATGAACCATCTAGGATCATCTGGGGAAGCCCTGCTCTTGGTCCCGCCTTGGTCTCAGATGCATTTAGCAGGAACGAGAGACAGGGCCTTCTCAGTGGTGACCCCTCGGCTGTGGAACGCCCTTCCTAGGGATATTAGATCGCTCCCCTCCCTCTTAACATTTCGCAAAAAGGTTAAAACCTGGCTTTTTGAGCAGGCACTTGCAAATGCAATGCAACAGACAATGATAGACCACTGACAATGCAATTGAATAGTGATTTCAGTAAGGAGACACTGAGTATTTATGTTTTTATTGACTTTTTATGGACCTGTATTTTATATGTTAATGTTTTTAATGCTATTTTATATGTTGGGGGGCATCGAATTGTGCTGAATGTAAACCTCCTTGAGTCACCTTCGGGCTGAGAAAGGTGGTGTATAAATATGGTAAATAAATAAATAAATAAATAAACAAACTATTCTGCTACAAGATGCTGAAGAGTCACATGTTGTAGTGTACAAATAACTTCTAAACACAATGAAGTCTGATCTCTTTCAATGTTTAGCAACATTCTGCTGACCAGAGAAAGTGGCATTAAGTATGCATCCTACTGAAGTCAAATTCCTTGGACATTTGCATTTACAAGAAGAAGAACAAATCCATTCCGCTGTTTGGAAGGTCAATCCATATGGTTTTAGCATCAATTAGAAAATCAGTCAGTATCTTACTTCGGCATGTCTAACTTGGGATTCATGTTTGGTTCATCTCTTCCTTTACCGGCTGGTCGCTCATCAATGTCTTTTTCAGCAAGTACTTCCAGTGTCATTTCAACTTTACCCTTCAAATAAATTAATATATTATTAAGAATTTTACAATGCTTTAACCTTAAGTGACACACAAACACATCTCTTTTGTTTGGTTATATTCTATATAATTTTACTTTTCTGCTACTTCAGAAACTATAAGAAAATATGCTTCAAATTCAGGTAAATCACAAATCTAAAAATAATGCAGCTGATTGAGACAGTGCTGTCCAAATCAAACCCAAGTTCTTCTAAAGGGAGCTAAATTAAAATCTTTACTACCATGTTGATTCATTACTAATTTGGCCGCAGATGGAAAAACAGACACATTTCATGTCTTCCGAATGAGACATTCCTCGAAGCCTATACATATTGCCCTTCCACACAGCCATATATCCCAGAATATCAAGGCAGAATATCCCACAATATCTGCTTTGAACTGAGTTATCTGAGTCCACAGTGCCATATATTCCAGTCCAAAGCAGATAACGTGAGATTTTCTGCCTTGATATTCTGGGATATAGGGCTGTGTGGAAGGGCCTTAAGTCTCAAGTTCTCAATAAGGAGCAGTTACTTTAGTATAGGCTGAGGGAATTCCTTTGCCTCATGTCTTTTGTATGACAGTTGGAAGGTATCTAATTTCTTCTCTGCTCTCTGTTTCTGTGCTTATTCTGATTGATTGCAAAAAAAAAAAAAACAACAGAGAGAGAGAGAGAGAGAGAGAGAGAGCTTCCCTCAGAATGTATGTCTGCATATCCATCAAAGGATCCATACAGGAGAGAAGCTATATAAATGCATGAATGTGGAAAGAGTTTCAGATACAGTGGACATCTGCGTTACCATCAAAGAACCCACACAGAGGAGAAGCCATAGGAAGGCATGGAACAAGGCGGGGGGGGGGGGGGGGGAGATGACAGTTCCATCTTGTCTCCTGCATATGTCATCATTTGGGGACCCCTCCCCCCAACACCAACTGCCGCTATGGACCAGAGTGAAGATTGGAGGGGGGGGGGGTGGAGCAGTTCTATGTGCTATGTTAATAATATAATATAATGTAATATAATATATTGCATATACATATAATATTTATAATATTATAATGTAATTATAATGTAATGCAATATAATACTAATAATAACATGATATTACAATTATATATTTATATTACATGTAATTTTACTAATAATATGGCCTCATGTTAGCCACCCCAAGTCCCCTTCGTGGAGATGGTGGCAGGTTATAAATAAAGTTTATTATTATTATCATTATTATCAGTTTGCACCGATGAAAAGAAGAGAAGCTATATGATCATGTATACAATTAGTCATTCACATTTGCAAGATTTGGTTATTCACAGATTTAATTAAAATATTATCTCTAAGATTCACTAGGTCCCTTAGCAGAAATTGACCACGGTTGTGTCGGAGGATTTAGAGATTCTTAGAGAGGTCTTCTCACATTTTCATGGGCGTTTTGTGCCCCTAACCCCAGTGAACATGAAGGAGTGATTGCAGTTATATTCTGCAATTATTCTGATGATAATGATGTTGGTTTTTATTGTTTTTATTGCTTCTATTGTGGTTTTATACTGTTTTAATGTTTAATTTGTATTTTGTTATGTTATGTGTACTGACTTGTTGTAAACCACCTTGAGTCGCTGATAAGGCTGAGAAAGGCGGTATACAAATATAGTAAATAAATAAATAAAGGAAATATAGAAACTTACAGCCAAAACCCGGGAGCCATCTTGTTCCACGTAGCATGGCCACCATCCCTTCATGGATTTCTGTTCAAAGAGTGACGCAGTCTTGGGAGCTTTCAGGGAGTTCATTGGCTTGTATTCTGGAATCATATCTAAAGTGCACTTGTCCGGAACCTTTGCTGGCACAATTGTATTGAGCAAATCAAGCTCTACAAAACCTAAAGAAGAGGAGGGTTGAGGGAAGGGAAGATAAAAAAAATGACCTCATTTATTTGGTTGGTCTTTCATCAACATCTTGGAGCACGTCTGTCTCTTTGGCAGAACTTTTTGCACAAATATTATATTTTGAAATGCATACCTAGATAGTCATCCAAGGAAAACTTATCATTGTCCCATATCTGAATAATCAACTTGGGTGGAATTCTGAATTCAGTATTGTCAAGACTCCAGAAGTGTTCCTAAGAAGAACAACATCAATAAAAATAAATTATAATTATTTGTTGGGCTGATCAAGTAGCCTGCTGCTGCGTTCTTCCCCAAGAACCTCCTTAATGTACAACACATGATACTATTCTGCCATCAAACTCCATACTGCTGTAACAAAGTCCTTTTCCAACATGGTGAACCTAAGGCAAACATACCATGGATTTTCTCACCAAGATTTCTTCAGAGTGGGTTAGCTTTTACATTACTCTGAGACTGGGAAAATGCTATTTGCCCAGAATCACCCCATGGGTCAGTCGCAAGACCGAACAGGGTATAGGGTCACAACCTGTGCTGGATGGGGTCACACTCTCCTTGAAGGCACAGGTTCACAGCTTGGGGGTCCTCCTGGATTCATCACTGAGCCTGGAATCCCAGGTTGCAGCGGTGGCCAGGGGAGCTTTCGCATAATTAAAACTTGTGCGCCAGCTGCGCTCGTACCTTGGGAGGTCAGACTTGGCCATGGTGGTTCACGCTCTCGTTACATCTAGGATAGACTACTGCAACACACTATGTGGGATTGCCTTTGAAGACTGCTCAGAAGTTCAAATAGTCCAACGAGAGGCAGCCAGGTTAATAACTGGGGCGGCATACAGGGAGCATACAACTCCCATGTTATGCCAACTCCACTGGCTGCCAGTTTGCTACCGGGCACAATTCAAAGTGCTGGCTTTGGCCTATAAAGCACTAAACGGCCCTGGGCCAATTTACCTGTCCGAACGCATCTCTCCCTAAGAACCATCGTGGAGGTTAAGGCCCTGCTTTCCATCCCGCCATTGTCACAGGCACGATTGGTGGGGACGAGAGACAGGGCATTCTTGGTGATTGCTCCCCAGCTATGGAACTCCCTTCCTGGTGAGATCAGGTCGGCCCCCTCTCTCCTGTCCTTTAGAAGGATGGTAAAAACTTGGCTGTGGGACCAAGCTTTCGGGACAGGGCAATAAAGCAGCAATAGGAAGGATTACCAGGCCAATTAGATTTGACGTGGATGACTAGGACGGTTTTAAATGGTGTATTTTAATATTTTGATAAAAGTTTTTAATGTTTTTGTATGTATATAAGAATTTGTGTCACAGCATTGAATGTTTGCTGTATATATGCTGTGCTCCGCCCTGAGTCCCCTTCGGGGCGAGAAGGATGGAATATAAATGTTTTAAATAAATAAATAAATTTTATGGTCGAACAGGGATTCAAATCCTACTATAGCCTACAATCCAATGCTCCAACAAATACACTCTGTTGACTCGTGTGTTTTTGTGTTGTTACTTTGCTGCAAGTCAATGGGAAAACGGCAGGGGAGTGGCTATATAACTCTTTTCTAGTCTGTTATTTCCTATCAAAATATCTACCCCCACTACACTATTTCTCTAGTTTTCTATCCATAGGGTTTTTCTCCCCCTATAGTATATTTATTTCAGCTATTACCGGATCTTGTTTACTTCCGGGGAAAAGAAAGATTGTGACAACCAAGTTTTGAAGAAAGACCATAGGAAGTGAACACAAGTCCCTTCCTCTCATCCATCCCACATGGATTTAAATCTATAGGGCAGAGGCCCTCAAACTTTTTAAACAGAGGGCCAGGTCACAGTCTCTCAAACTGTTGGTGGGCAAGATTATGATTTGGAAAAATCATGAATGAATTCCTATGCACACTGCACATATCTTATTTGTAGTGCAAAAAAAAAACACTTAAAAATACAATAATTAAAATAATTTATCATTAGTATTTCAATGGGAAGGGTTTTTTTTTGTTTTGTCATGTCAGGAGTGACTTGAGAAACTGCAAATCGCTTCTGGTGTGAGAGAATTGGCCGTCTGCAAGGACGTTGCTCAGAGGACGCCCGGATGATTTGATATTTTTATCATCCTTGTGGGAGGCTTCTCTCATGTCCCCGCATGAGGAGCTGGAGTTGATAGAGGGAGCTCATCCGCCTCTCCCCAGATTCGAACCTACGACCTGACGGTCTTCAGTCCTGCTGGCACAGGGACCCACTGTGCCACCTGGGGCTCCCGGTGGCGCAGTGGGAAGTGTGGACCTGCTTTTAGCTGATGAGATAGGATTGTTGTTGTTGTTGTGTGCTTTCAAGTCATTTCAGACTTAGGTTGACCTGAGTGGGGGGCGGGTAAATGACTTTGGAGGGCCGTATCCAGTCCTCGGGCCTTAGTTTGGGGACCCTTGCTATAGGGTATAACAACAACAGCAATAACTTTGGAGACAAACTGCACGAAGCTCAAGTGTCATATATGTAATTTGACCAATTGCTAACCATGTTATTTATGTGAAGTATGATGAGAGAAAATCACCTTTTTTGAAACTGTACAGAGCTGTTCAGCTGGAAAATACTCAAAAGGGAAAATAAGTCTCCAGTTGAAGTTCCCATCCCCATCTAGGGACCTGTAATGCACGTCTGTTTTCTGCTTGTTTTCTTCATAACCTGGCATCCACCTGAAAGAGACATGAAAATTTGGCTATGTACAATGGATCACAATGATTCTGTTCCTATACTACCAAAGTACAAAGGGGTTGATGCCAACAGTTAGATCTAAACTCAGTAAGTGGTTCCTGTTAAACGGCCTATGTCCAAGATTGCATTAAACTTCCTTGGGAACATTAAGAGGGACCTTCTGGATCAGGCTGAGGCATGCCTAATATTTATTTATTTATTTATTTTGTGTATTTCTACCCCGCCCTTTACAACCCCCGAGGGGGCACTCAGGGTGGCTTACAAAAGGCACAATTCAATGCCTACACAAACAGTAAAAATAATATATATATAAACAGCAATTAAAACAATTATAAACAGTTAAAACAATCAATTTTACATCACAATCAATAAAACCAATCTCATGCTCAACGTTCGTCAGCTCAGAATCCATAAATTCATTCCACATTGTCAGTTCCTATCAATTCTAGTTGTCATTGTCTTTTATCTATCTGCCAGGTTACCCAAATGCCTGGTCCCAAATCCATGTTTTTAATTTCCTTCTAAAAGAGAGGAGGGATGTTGATGACCTAATTTCCCCGGGGAGTGAATTCCACAGGTGAGGGGCCACCACCGAGAAGGCCCTGCTCCTCGTCCCCACCAATCTCACTTGTGATAGAGGTGGGGCCGAGAGCAGGGCCTCCCCAGAAGATCTTAAACTCCGAGGTGGGACGTAGAAGGAGATGCGTTCGGACAGATACGCTGGGCCGGAGCCAATAGGGTTTTGTAGGTCAAGACCAGCACTTTGAATTGTGCTAGGAACTGGATCGGCAGCCAGTGGAGCTGACATAACAGAGGGGTGGTATGCTCCCTGTATGATGCTCCGGTGAGTAATCTGGCTGCCGCCCGCTGGACTAATTGAAGTTTCCGAACAGTCTTCAAAGGCAACCCCACGTAGCGTGCGTTGCAGTAATCTATTCAGGATTGAGCATCCTATATCTGAAATTTCAAAATCCAAAATTGTCTACATGCTGACGATTCAATGTACACACATTTTGTTTCACGTGCAAAGTTGTATGAAATTCCTTCAGGCTATACATTTAAGGTGTGCATTAAACATAATGGATTTTGTGTTTAGACTTGGGTCTCATCTCCGACATAAGTTATTATGTACATATATGCAAATGTAGGTATTCCAAAAATCATGTGTATGTGTATAATAACCTAATATGCATGAATGGTGCTCTCAGAAAGTCAGTACTGCATCATTGAATGTTTGCCGTGTATATGCTGTGCACCGCCCTGAGTCTCCTTCGGGGTGAGAAGGGCGGAATATAAATGTTTTAAATAAATAAAAATTAAATCAATCTATGCACTAGATGATTTGCCTAGTAGGGGTAATGATAGCACTAGCCCAGATCACAGTAAAAGAGGTCCCTTCTACACTGCTATATAAAATATAGATTATCTGCTTTGAATTGGATTATATAGCAGTGTAGACTCAGATAATACAGTTCAAAGGAGATAATGTGGATTATCTGCTTTGATAATCTGCATTATATTGTAGAAAGCGCCTGACTCTTAACAGATTCCTAGGCCTTTATCTGACAGTTTCATCATTAATGAGCTATAGGATGTAGTTCCCTTACCCTTTCACATAGATGTCACTCATTTCTTCCCCTGTGATGCTTTTCTCATCCAGGATAACATCCTTGGTGTTCCAAACTACCACTCGCAGTTCATACCTGCAGGTTGTGAAACAAAAACCGCTTTGAGTCCCCCCAGAGGTGAGAAAGGCGGTATATAAATACTGCAAATAAATAAACAAATAAATGAAGATACTGAGTTTTATGGTTTTGGGTTTGTAGTAATCAGATTACAAATCAGATTGACGCCAATCTTAACTCCATCACTAAAGCTTGGCTGGAGAGTCAAAGTTTACCTAGGCCCTTTCTACACTGCCGAACAAAATCCAGATTGTCTGCTTTGAACTGGATTATATGGCAGTGTAGACTCATATAATCCAGTTCAATGCAGATAATGTGGATTATCTGCTTTGATAATCAGGATTATTAGGTAGTGTAGAAGGTGCCGGAGTTGCAAGGGTAAACCTTTTACTGAAATTCACCACTGAGTTTAGATAACAAACCCAACTGGGAGTTGGTGGCAAAAAAAAAGATATTTTATTTATTTTACTCACTTTTTAGCCTTGCGAGGAGTGATGTTGAAAGGTGGACCGGGTGGACCCAGGCTTTTGGGGAAAACATCCACCCACATCTGCAGTTTTCCCTACATCAATAAAACATTATTTGTCAAGTTTCAGAAAAACAGCAAATCTGATTTATCATTATGAGTACTTCAGTCTAATACCATGCCGTGTGGTTTCTGGGCTTTATGACCGTGTTCTAGCAGCATTATTTTATTATGCTGTAAATGTACTTGATTCAATTAGATTTTATTATTCTTTGATTAGATTTTATTATGCTTTTTAACTAATTATTTTATTTTGTCATTAATTTATTTACTTTTGGCTAGTTATTATAAGTTTACATTAATGTTGTATTCATTAGTTTGATTTGGTTTGTTTGTTTTCATTAAGGCATTGAACCTCACAACCTCTGAGGATGCTTGCCATAGATGCAGGCGAAATGTCAGGAGAGAATGTTCTGGAACATGGCCATACTCGAAAAACTTACAACAACCCAGTGATTATGGCCATTAAAGCCTTCGACAATACAAGGCATTGAATGTTTGCCACTTTTTGTTTGGAAACCGCCCTGAATCCTCTTGGGGAGATAAGGTGGGTTATAAATGATGATGATGATGATGATGATGATTATTATTATTATTATTATTATTTTCTCCTGGCATTTCACCTGCATCAGTGGCTGGCATCTTCAGAGGATCTGATGGTGGTAAAACAAGTGAAGGATATATCCTCTGAAGATGCCAGCCACAGATACAAGTGAAACGTCAGGAGAAAATGCTGCTAGAGCACAGCCATACAGCCTAGAAACCACACAACACCTTAGTGATTCCAGCTGTGAAAGTCTTCGACAACACATTAATACTATGCACTTCATTTTGGCTTTGGTGACTTTGACTTGATCCTTGTGAATATCAGGCCCACCCCCACTAAATGTATTTATTTATTTATATCATTTCAAGCATTTATACCCAATCCTTCTCACACACACACACACACCGGGGGAGGGAGGTACTCAGGGCGGCTTACAGAAGGCAACTATTAGATGTCGAACATAGTACTAAAAATTAATACTAACTGAAAATTAAACAATTAAAACAATTTTAAATACCCAAAAAATTAGAAAAATATTAAAATCACTAGTTTAAAAACATGATCCAGGATCAGTCCATTGCTGGTTGCATAAGTCAATCACATTTCAATGCTGTATTTATTTTTGAAGGCTTGACCCCAAAGCCAGGTCTTAAGTTTTCTTCGGAATACCAAGAGGGAACGGGGTAGATCCGATATCATTTGGGAGGGAGTTCCACAGCCAAGGAGCCACCACTGAGAAGGCCCTGTCTCGTGCCCTCACCAATCATGCTTGCGAGGGAGGTGGGATCGAGAGCAAGGCCTCCCTATATTGGCCAACATAACAGCCAAGCTTGTAAAATGCTATATGTTTCACCTATGACTTACAAAATTCTCCAGCCAACATAGCCAGTTATCATGCTGACTGAAGGATTCTGGAGGATATGATAAAAAGAGACAACTTTTCCAAGTTTGCAAAAGTAATGCTGATTCTGGTCACTACCATGCTGCTTAGAGAATTCTGGAAGTTGTAATCCATAAAACTGAACTTGTTTAGCTCTGGTTGAAACCAAAGGGAGGCAACTTTCTAAAGCAACTTGTGATCTGGCACTGGGTACAAGGGCTCTGCTGTTTTAAAGGGAAGACATAAAAAAATCACTTGAACTGCCCATGTACTTGGCATGTCTGAAGCAACTCTACATCCTGGCCTATAAATCTGCATAAGAACCACACAATGGGATTGCAACGAAGTTACAGATTTTTTTGCCAGAACATCTAGAACAGATTAGTGCTGTCAGAAGCACTGTACACATATGTAATATAAACACTTATCTGTGAACAATAGATAGTCTCTTTGAAACCCCAGTAATGTTAATGTGATCCTAATATATTAACAGCATATGTTTGAAACTTTTCCACTGCAACCATGGGCTCATAATTCCTTATGTTTGGCTGCATTGTGTCAAGTGCACAGAGCTGAGGGTTTGGAAGTCATTTCCACCACTTTTCCTAATCACTTAGATCTCAGGAGGCCAAATTCTCTGCTTTTGAAAAAACCTAGAAGTGAATGGAAGGTCACCTTCAATTTTCCAACTCCTATTTGGAGGCCTAAACAAGGCGCTTTCGGGAACAAGAGTAACACTCAACAGAAAAACTGCAGCCTTGGACATGACTTGAGGAACAATTCTTATTTTTTGTTGAATATTTAAGGAGGGCAAAGGGAACCTTTGTCAAAGTGCCTCAGAAAAAGGCCCTTATGGGATTCATGCAGTCCATGGGTGCACAACATTCCTGCCCTTGTCATAGTTACCATAAAATCTTCATGGATTTATAGATATACAAGTAAAGTAGGGAACCATACTACCGGTATATTATAACTTTTTCTACACCATATCCTCCAACCATAGTACCGTATTTTCCAGCATATTAGATGACTTTTTAACACTGGAAATTTTTATGAAAAGGTGCGGGTCGTCTAGTACGCTGGGTTCAAAATTAAAATAATAATAATTAAAAGAAAAAATAAAATCCAACTCCCTTAGTGGTGCGGCCTGAGGAGGGAGAGAGGAGGAGGGTGGAGGGAGGGCACGGGGTGGAGGAATGSCAGGCAGTATTGCTATGGAGACCGGCCGGGGGTGAGGGCCCGCTGGGCTGACTCAGCGGCCCCCGCTGCTCTTCCYGCTCTACTGTCATGGTTTCCTCGGCTCCCGATGCTCAACTCCTTCGAAGGCCACTGGACTCACATAGRGCCAAGGAAGCTTGGCTGTGCTCATTGGGGCATTCTGGGAGCCATTGTTCCCTGGCTCCTACGGCTCCCAGAATGCCTCAGAGAGCACATACTAGGTACGCCACCGCCAGAGCTGCTGGGAGTCATTGTCCAAAGGCCCTTCCTTGTGCCTCCGGACGACTCCCAGCAGCCCTGCCGGCGGCGTGCCTGGGATGTGCTCGCTGAGGCATTCTGAGACCCATAGGAGTGAGGGAACTACGGCTCCCAGAATGCCACAGCGAGCACATCCCAGGCACGCCTTGGATGTGCTCGCTGAGGCATTCTGGGAGTCGTAGTTCCTTGAGTCCTACGGCTCTCAGAATGCATCCGTGAGCATATCCAAGCATGCCGCTTGGGACTGCTGGGAATCATTGTCCAGAGGCACAAGGAAGGGCCTTCGGACGATGACTCCCAGCAGCCCCGGCGGCTGCGTACCTAAGATGTGCTCACTGAGGCATTCTGGGAGCCATAGGAGTCAGGGAACTTTGTCTCCCAGAATGCCGCAGCAAGCACATCCAAGCTTCCTTGGGCCTAGGCAAGCCCAGTGGCCTTTTAAGGTGGTGAGCGTCAGGGGCGGAGGAAACCATGAAAGTAGAGTGGGGAGAACAGCGGGGAGCATGGGCACAGCCCAGTGGGCCATCACCTCCGGACAGTCTCCATGGAATGCAGAGTCTTCTTAAATGGTGAGTATATCCCCAACTCGGTATTATGTATTGAAAAGTTGGGGGTCGCCTTATATGTCATCTCGTATGCTGGAAAATACGGTATTTATGTTTGTGTGAACATGCCAAGAATATTGATTATAGAAACATAATATATTTTTTAAAAGTAAAAAATACTTGTGAGATGTTTGGCTGGAAGGTACTGTAAAGCGTTCTCGTCTCTACATGCTCTGGCACCAGGCCCTGGGTCCTTAGTATGTAAAGGGCAAGTCTTTCTTCAGCAGGACCAAGGTGCTCGTGCAATTTTTTGTTTGCCTCTAAAATAAAAAAAGAAAGAAAGTCAATTAAGAGGAATCTGAGATCAAATACAAGGTTAGTAAGTGCCCAAACTTGCAAAGTCATAATCCAATGCGAAAACCACCAGACTATGCTATGAAGGCATTCTAGTAATTCAATAGGAGAAACTCAGTTGTGTAGACCCACTGACAACAATTAAAATGCAATACAAAATCTGAATTTCATATAAATAGAAATATTCCGTGACTATGCTGGGGAAAATGGAAGGAAAAAGGAAGAGGGGCCGACCAAGGGCAAGATGGATGGATGGTATCCTTTAAGTGATTGGCTTGACTCTGAAGGAGCTGGGGGTGCTGACGGTTGACAGAGAGCTCTGGCGTGGGCTGGTCCATGAGGTCACGAAGAGTCAGAAGTGACTTAACGAATGAACAACAACAACACTGAGTAGGTATAGAAGTCTAAATCCAATTTAGTTCAAGGTAGAGTATATCCACTACATCAATACTTCCCTTTGATTTAATGAGCCTACTAAAGTTGGGACTAAGTTTGGATTTACACTACTATAAACACTAAAAGTAAAAGCCACGGAATAGGAGAGAACTCACCAAATTCTTCCAACGTGTAGTCTCTTCCTCCAAAACTAATTCTATTTCCACTGTCAGAGAGGACTGGAGGGCGACAGCCTTTAATCCTGGCTAAATTTTGTAGGAGTTGTGTTGGTTTCAACTGATCTCGCCATGTATTAATGCCTGAACTTTTTAAGGAAACACAGGACATTACAAATAAACTGTTTCTTAGCAATCCTACACATTTTTTCAACATATCACTGTATATCTTAATGTGTTGAATCAGTGGATGTGATAGTTGAGTTTAAATGTAGGAAGTGTCATGTTCATAGCCTTGGCCTCATTCTGGATTCATCTTTGTCAATGGAGGTACTACACAAGAGATTCTGGTGAATCAGAGTTACTTTTATCACTTGGCCAGTTATGGTCATTCTTGTACAGGGATAGCTTAACTATGTTGGGAATTAATGTTTCTCAGGGAAAAGTATGAAAGTATGAAAACGAAAACTGTTAGCGATTAATCTTTGCTTAGCAAAGCAATAGACAAAGCATGTCTCAAATTCTCCATGTTTCTTTTCTGAGTTTCCTGTTGACTCCAAAAATAATCAAGTTAGGCAGTTGTCAGTTACATACTATAGATGAGCAATTTAGTCAAAAGGCATGCCATTTTGGGATCCATTGTTGGCTGGCCCATCATTCTATTTACCAGGAAGTTACTCGAATCAGGAGGAGTGTTGCCGTTTTCATTCGGCAAAGATTTGGCCCATTGGCTACAATGGGAAATTTTAAAGGCTCAGTCCTCAGTCATTTTAAGGCCTATCTGCATGAAACCTACCTCAGCTTTAGGCCACGGTTACAACTGCAGGCCTGCCAAGTTTCAAAACAATTCACCAATCTACTGATTTTTAAGAATTATTTTAAGTTTTAACCATAACATTTTTTAAAATAAGAGAAACCTCAAGAGAGGGGTCTGGGAATTGTAGTTGCTACTTGTGTCCATTCTCAACCAATCACATAGACACGAGCAGGCTTTTTATTGGCTGAGAAACAGAGAGAGAGAGAAAAACTTCAACCCCCATCATGCTCTGAAAGGAACTCAGAGACCTTTCAATGCCCATCCCATGCAAGTACTGCTTGGAAAGCGAATTCCCAGCAGAGCAGTAGGGCCCTCTCTGGAGGAGGAGCCTAGGAAACTTTACAAAAAAGAAATGGAGGGATGCTGCTTCTGCCGGGGAGGGATAAAAGAAAAGATGTGGCAGATCCCTGCCTCGGATATGCAGACTTAATTCCTTCCTCTCCAAGAACCAATAAAATCTGGCTCTTTTAATCTGTTTTGCCGGGCTTTGCAGCTCCCTCCTCCCCATTCTGTTTTTGGATATTATACAAAACGGCCCACCAAATATTACAAATAATTTTCGTTCAAACTGATTTGTGCTCAAGTCTATTACATACTTAAAATTTTACTAGGTTTGCAGTTACATAATTATGGCGACCACCATAATGAAATGAAAACATTAGATAAAGTCTTCATTCTTAACTCATCACATTTCGATGGAGGAGGGATAATTGTTTGCCAAAAAAAAAAGGAAGATGGAAAGACACAAACACAAATTTCTGGAAGTCATTCCACTTCTGAAGTGTATATGGAGCTGCTCACAAAGGCTTCCCCATTTACTTCTTTGGAAGGAGGCCCACATGCATAGGAGCCTCCATAAGTACACTGTACAAGAATCTGAACTGGAATACTTTGATGTAGAGAATGGTTTAGAAAGGGAATTGTAATACATTATTTTTGTTGTTACATGACTGGCTATTTTGCTGCTTCAGATGGATTAGCAAATGATGCTAAGCGCCCATCACTTAATCAAACAGAGAAACCTGTTATCCAAAGACAGAAATATTATTTTGATTTTAAGAATAAGATTCCCTCAAGTACCTCCCTCCATCTCCAGTAATAAAAAATAGAGTAGTAGTACTATGTAATAAAATTTGAAAAAAATATGTTTCTGATTTGAAAGTGTTATTTGTGTTTAATTGTGTGGTAGTTACTTTGGAAATAGTTGTTCTACTCCAGAAACTTTGTTTTTGTGGCTGCCACAAAGTATGTTGAATTGGTTGAGACTTGATGAGATATTCATTGAAAAGCTACAGAAAAATGTGCTGCAGGATGTCCCACAGAAACAAAGTTTTTGTAGTATAATAAACTTTTTCCATGTTTCTATGATAGAACCAATTAGGAAATGACATTTATAACCCAGGAACAGAAATCATATTATATAATGTAATAAATTGCTGTCCTTTTATGATTGTCTGGCTAATGGCAGGACCAGCCTTGAGTCATTGAACATGCAGCTACCATGATGTGCAATTGAGGGGGAATTTAAAGTAGTATTGTTTTCGAGTTCTATGTGTACAGCAGAGACTTACACGCAGTACTGCTGGGGTATTCCACAGTGCGGTCCAAAACGGGAGAGGAATCTGTTTTCCAGATCAATTTTGGTTTCCCCAACTTTTTCGTCTCTTGTCAGCATATCATAATCATATACAGAAATTTTCAAATCCTTCTCTTGAGGCAAGAAGCAGCTCAGTTCATACATCCTAAATGCAGAAATATTTAGCAAATTGAATTCCAGCAAAACTGATTACAATTAACAACTCTCACAACAAATATTACTGAAATTGCATATGGACAAATATGTTGTTGTAACAGCAGTTTCTCTTTAAAAACTTTTTTGTCTCATCCATAACATGGCAAAAACTTACCTTAACATAACTACAACAGCATAGTGATTAAAATTTCCACCTTCCAAAATCCCTCCTCACTTTTGAAAACTTATGAAGTTCCATGCTATTAATATTAGTAATGTATAGTTTAGAAGAAAAATGAATTATTTTCCTATTTTAAATTGTAATGATCACTTTATTTTTCCTCATTTTACTTTTCCTACACAGTAAAGCATCTCCTCTTGACAAAAATCAAAAGAAATAACAGTATGCTACAGAAAAAGCATGGCCTATGCATTATCACCATCATGCTGCTTTCTAAACAAAAACAGAGTATTTCTAATTTGATCAAGACTTTAAGCCTTCATGTCATATTGCTGCACTATAATGAAAATTGGGGGTGCTGATATATATAATATTAAGGAGACAGATTGGTATAGTGGTCTGAGCATTTGCAACATTAGGGATCAAGGTTTGAATCTCGACTCAGCCACTGAAACGAATTGGGTGACATTGAGCAAGTCATACTCTCTCAGCATCAGAAGAAGGCCATGACAAACCCTGTTCTGAAGAATTCTTGTGGGCAAACACCCAAAACCTGAGGACATTGAACAACAAGAAATATTAAGAAGCTTTTAAAAAATTACCTGCCAAAAACTGGATTCAGTGTGTTGGGAACATAATGATCTCTGTCTTCAACAACTTTTTTGCCTAAGGTGATTTTAATGTAAGGATCACACTGTTGGGAGGAAGGATGTCATAAAATTAATACGCATTGGAAGATTGATCAATAATGCATAATACCTTTTCTAAACATAGCTGCCTGAAGATCAACATGTGATATCAGCTCCTCCCACCCCCAGATTGCAATTAATACAATGAAAACGACTGTTTTGTCTCAGATTTCTTTTAATTTCTGGTTGGAACTCAACACAGAATTCTGTTTATGCTGCAGTTGATGACTATATCAATGTATGGATAAGCTAAGCATGTTAAAATCCTTGTTGCAACAATTCCTATTACTCCATTACGAGGCAAACACTGAAAACTTATGAGTTAAGAGTTGTCGCTCAACTTTTGCTTTGACACAAGAGCAGCATTTTGAGTTAAGAGCTAGCACCAGAGGGAGTGCCAGCTTGAGAGTACAGGGCTTTAAGGCCTCAAAGGAGCAGCCTGTGTGCCTCCATGCCTCATGCTCTTGTCTGCTTTGGGAGATTGCTGTCCGCTTTGCTCTTGTCTACTTTGAGGAACTTTGGGTTAGTTGATTTTGTATTGTTTTTATTCCTGGTATGTGTGACTTTATGAACAGAGAGAGAGAGAGAGCAAGAGAGGAAGGGAGGGTGAAATGAGGACAGTATGAAGGCAATCATGCTTCTGTTACTTCACTTTGTGCTTCCTTGCCACAATTTTGTGCTTCTACCATTTTTAAGATTATCTTTCTTTTTTATTGTTCTATATGAATGTGCATTATTAACAAATAATTTATAAAGCAAATTTTCTTATTTAAGAACATGTAACAAAATGGGCGGGATTTGGGGGCAGAATGGATTTCATTGGAAATTTGCTTTGAGATAAGAGCATTTTGAGTTAAGAGCTCAGTCACAGAATGAATTAAAATCTTAAGTTAAGGTATCACTTTTTTTTACAGAAAGAGAAAGATGAAAGTGGTACCTGAGGAATCCATGTTGCCCCGAACAGATCTCAGATCTGAGACTGGTTTTCATGGTATTTGAAATTTAATCATTATTTCATAAAGCACCATTCCTGGCTTCTGTCTGTGCTTATTCTCCCCCATGTGTCTCTATTACTATTTCCTCGTGGTCAAAAGTTGTACTATACACCGCTCCAATCTCAGTTATCTTCTGTACACATCAGCTCACCAAACCATTGTTGTCTTGAGGTTGGAGGTCTAAGGCCCGGGCAATGTATATCCGTACAAGACACTCCTGGGGTCCACTGTCCGGCAGCTCACGGAACTGGCGGGGAGGAGATGGCACAGTAGGGTCATCTGGTAATGCGTAGATTCGAAAGGAACCCTAGATAGAAATAACAGGAAATTAATGCATGAGTCGGAAGAAATTCGTCTATAGAAAAATACTCAATAACCATATTGAGCGTTTTTCTCCTTAAGAAATGCAATACTATGTAGATCAATATAAGTATCAAGTATCAGTTTTGTTTTACATTCAAATAATGAGAGGGATGCTCAATCTGGATCTCCTACCTGTACACAGTAACCCTAATTTAAACTGCTTCCATTCAACACCATGGAGGAAAAAAATAAATTTCAACCAAATCTCTATTTAGTGTTTGAATATTTTTTAACAAGTGCATATAGATGAACATTATATAGCTTGAGCATCTCTTATTAGAAATGCTTCAGACTAGAAAGGTTTTGATTTTTTTTTCATATTTTGGAATACTTGTATCTATCTATCCATCCATCTATATTACAGTCAATGGCCAGCACTAGTATTTGCATATATATATATATATATATATATATATATATATATATATAGGACCTGAGTCTAAACACAAAATTCATGTATGACCTGTATACATATTCTATATATATAAAAAATGCTCTGTTCATTTTGAGTGACATCATAACTCAAAATCCGCTGGACAAATTGCCGCCAAGTTTGACCACAAGACACCTACTAACCCAAGGACTGACCATCACTCATTCTGATCTCTGCCAATGATGGAATTGAAGTGAACTTGGCACACAGAACTCCCATGACCACCAGAAAATATGGGAAGGGTCTGGTGGACATGGATCTTGAGCTTTGGAGTTGTAGTTCACCTACATCCAGAGAGCACTGTGGACTCAAACAATGAAGGATCTAAGCCAAACTTGGCACAAATACTCCATATGACCAAATATGAACACAGATGGAGTTTGGGGAAATAGACCTTGACATTTGGGAGGTGTCATTACTGGGATTTATAGTTCACCTACAATCAAAGAGCATTCTGAACCCCACCAATGAAATAATTGGGCCAAACTTCCCACACAGAGCCCCCATGACCAACAGAAAATACTGTGTTTTCTGGTGGTCTTTGGTGACCATTCTGACACCCCATCGCAACCCCCCAGTGTTGAGAAATGCTGCCTTAAAGCCATTCAGTCCAACTCCTTTCACGAAGGAAAGAAAACATAATCAAAGCCCTCCTGACAAAGAGTCACCCAGCCATAGATAGATATGATTCACGCGCACACACACACAGATGTGTATATGATAGATATAGTATCATAGATTTGAAAGGGACCCCTAAAGAAGGACCATGATATGTTTGCATGTGCCAGAGTAGGCAAGCCAGACAATCTCTACATCAACAATGACAAAGAGACAACAAGAAATACTATTTACCCACAAGCATAAAGATGTTACATATATTAGAAACCAATACTTTCTCATCACTTTATTTTCCGGATCACCAGACCGGGCCACAGCAACGCCTGGCAGGGGATGGCTAGTATTATATAGATAGCCTACAAGTACCTTTATACAATATTTCAAGTACTTTTGTGTATGAAACAAAGTGTGTATATTATGACATTAGAAAGCAAAGATAACACAATCTCAGCCACTCATGTGGACAATTTCAGATTTTGAGGTATTTCTGATTCTGGATAAGGGATACTTAGCCTGTAATAACCCAAGTAATTTAAGTTGGTTTTGAATATCTGACCCCACATATCCCATTTGCTGTGCTTGGAACATACATTTCAACAAGAATTAGCCATAAGGGAAACATGTTTTCAGATCCATTGTTTTGTATACACTAGACTTCAAAAAAGGTAGCCTATCAGGGCTGCATGAAGGCGATGAGTGAGGCTGAAGCCAAGTCCAAAGCAAAGCAACACTCTTTTTTCACATTCCCCTTTCTTTCTCATCCTCAGTCTCCGCCTCTCTTTCTACTGATTCTTTTCATCTTTCCCTTGGGTCTCTTTCAAAATTCTCAACAAATTCTTTGCAGTGGCTTTTGAAATTACACAGAGAGCTGTGTTGAAGCAACAGAAAACAGAAAAGTACAATTCTGTAGACAACTGCCAAAATCTAGAGTTTAGTACTGTTACCTATGCAAGAGGATGTAGCTCAGTGATAGGGACTATGGTTGGTTCTACACTACCAGAAAATGCAGCCTGAATTGCATTATATGGTCAGTGTAAATCTATATGATGTACTGTATTAGATGGCTTTACATTGACCATATAATGCAGTTCTAATTGCATTATTTGGCAGCATAGAACCAGCTTTAGTGGTCCTTCACATTTAGGTAAAGGTTTTCCCCCTGACATTAAGTCCAGTCGTGTCCGACTCTGGGGGTTGTTGCTCATCTCCATTTCTAAGCTGAAGAGCCGGCATTGTCCATAGACACCTCCAAGGTCATGTGGCCAGCAAGACTACATGGAGTGTTGTTACCTTCCCACCGGAATGGTACCTATTGATCTACTCATATTTGCATGTTTTCGAACTGCTAAGTTGGCAGAAGCTGGGGCTGACAGCGGAAGCTCACATCGCTCCCCGGATTTGAACGTGCAACCTTTAGGTCAACAAGTTTAGCAGCTCAGCAGTTTAAACCACTGCATCACTGGGGGCTCCCCTTCAGATTTAGCAGGCTGTAATGCTCATTGGGGCCCCTTGGTGGCACAGCAGGTTAAATCACTGAGCTGCTGAACTTGACCGAAAGGTTGGTGGTTCGAATCGGGGGAGCAGGTGAGTTCCCGCTGTTAGGTCCAGTTTCTGCCAACCTAGCAGTTTGAAAACATGCAAATGTGAGCAGATCAATAGGTACCGCATCTGCAGCAAGGTAACATCTCTCCATGCAGTCATGTTGGCCACATGATCTTGGAGGTGTCTATGGACAGTGCCAGATCTTCAGCTTAGAAATGGAGATGAGCACCACACCCAGAGTCGGACACGACTGGACTTAATGTCAGGGGAAACCTTTACCTTTACTTCTCATCAGCCCTGGCCAGCAGAGTCAAAGAAGAGAGATAGCAGGCATTACAGCTCAACAGCTTCTGGAAATCATAATTCTCATCCCACGGTAGATTATCCTTTTTCTTAACCAGTAACAGCATAAGATTGTACACACAACTGCCTGTATCAGAGCCACTGATTTGGAACTGAGGGTTTATCTCAGCAAATAGAAGGTCCTTCCTTTCTTGTGGGGATTGAGAGGACTACCATTTGTGGTGCAGACCTGAACTCTTGTCTCTCAAATACCACAAGTAGTAAGCCCTGGTAACATACATATGTTTTTGATAATTTTCATCACTCATGTCAAACCCAAGATGCTAATAGTAGTGATTTCATTAGTTATATACGGGATTCAATTTACTAATCTGTAAGGCTATATAAGTCAAACAAGGTGATGATATGACTGACTTACCCATCTAAGAGGGGTATTTCATGAGTGTGGATGAAGTAGATTCATGTGCTTGTGTTTTTACCTTAAATTCTCCTACAACTGTAGGGTCATCATTTTCTTCGGATTTGCCCCGATACAGCTTGAATGTATCACAAAAATCTGTCAAACCCTTAAACTCTGGCACATCCTCCAGTTCACAGTTGTATACCTTCAAACAGGATTGAAGTGGATTTGCACTTTATAAATGTCACATACAAACCAGTTACACAATTTGTTAAATGAAACTTATAACACTGCATGTATACAATGGAAATAAATTGATTGTAGGTTGCTGTGAGTTTTCCGGGCTGGATGGCCATATTCCAGAAGCATTCTCTCCTGATGTTTTGCTCACATCTATGGCAGGTATACTCAGAGGTTGTGAGGTCTGATGGAAACTAAGCAAGTGTGTGGAATGTCCAAGGTGAGAGAAAGAACTTTTGTCTCCCAACAAAGAATTCCCCCAGACAGAAAGCAGCCAGGCTTTGAAGCTGCAAGGTCATTCAATGCTAATCAAGGTGGCCAATTGCAACATTGACACCTGCCTCAAGCAGTCAAGAGTTCTTTCTCCCACCCTGGACATTCCACAGATATATAAACCTCACTTGCCTAGTTTCCAACAGACCTCACAATCTCTGAGGATGCCTGCTATGGATGTCGGAAAAACATCAGGAGAGAATGCTTCTGGAACATGGCCATACAGCTCGGAAAACTCACAACAAACCAGTGATTCCGCCCATGAAAGCCTTCAACAAAAAATAGATTGTAGTTGTGAATTTTTTAAAAAAATTTAATTTTAAAAGCAATGCCATCTGGGATAATAAAACACTAAGCCATAATAATTTAGCTTGTTATTTTGTTATTTCATCTTATTATTTTCATGTACAAAGTATAAATCATCATGTCAGAAAAAATGGCCGTTTATAAGATCTTTCCACACAGTAAGGGCCCTTCCACACAGCCATATAACCCAGAATATCAATGCAAGATAACCCACAATATTGAACTGGATTATCTGAGTCCACACTGCCATATAATCCAGTTCAATATGGATTTTATACAGCTGTATGGAAGGGGCCTCAATTTAAGTTTTTACTGATAAGGCCTATTTTAAGCATACCCTATATTAAAATAAATTACTGTCCCAATGAGAGCCTCAATAATTTAAAAATCAAGGAGATTGAATTAAACAAAAGAAGAAAAAGAAACAGGAAGGAAGGACATTCAACTTGATAAAATAAAAAGTCCAGTTTTTTTTCAGGTTGGTGACGTTTCAAAAATATCACCAATCCACTTCAGACATGTCCACATAATTAATTCAGTCATAAATACCTTTAGTGTATCATATCCCTTCTGAAGGTATTGACCACATTTTTCATGTTCACCTATTGAAGCATAAAACTTGCTCCACCAATCCACTATTTCTTCTTCCTAAAGATTGCCAATGGGAAAAAAAGTTTATTTAGAAGCAATAACAGTTCTTGGGGAGATGCAGACAGAGGCCAGCATGCATTTACATACACCATTCTCCCCGTCTTCCTCAGCAGAGAGTTTAACCTATATCAACCTGCATCCTCACTTCTTTTTTGAAACACATATGGAAATGGATGCTGTGTGCTTAATTGTAGTATATACAGAATGTTGGTGGACAGGAAAAGACATTTAAAGATGGATTTAAAGCCAACCTCAAAAACTGTGGCATAGACACTGAGAACTGGGAAGCCCTGGCTCTTGAGTACTCTAACTTGAGGTCAGCTGTGACCAGCAGTGCTGCAGAATTCAAAGAACCAATTAGGAAATGACATTTAAATCACAGGGGGGAAAATGGCAGTTTAATAAAAACTTTCCATATTATTATGATAGAACCAATTAGGAAATGACATTTATATCACAGGAAAAAATGTGTTACATAGTGTTTGTTGTTAGATCTCTGATAAGCCTGAAACTTTCTTCCTTCAGGAAGCTCAACAACAGCAAAAGGCACTGCATAGGGTAGGACTGTTTAGCTGTCATAGTAAAATAGATTATGGGCTTAATCTGATTTGCGTTCTTCTGTTGATGGTTGTGTTATTGCTTGTGGATGTACTGTTGATTTATGTCTAATTGTAGTGAAATATTCATTTATTTACGACATGTTTATCCCGCCCATTCCAGCCCGAAGGCGATTCAGAGCGGGGTACAGATCAGCAACAATTAGATGCCATGTAGAAATACATATCTCAATAAAAACAATTAAAACACATCATAAATACACATAAAATCCATAAAAACTATAAAACTATAAAAAATCAATAAAAACTAATGTCTACCAATGCAAATTCCTCATCCGTTTACATCGTCTTAGCCGTTCTATGTTCGTATTACGATTTTGTGTTAACCAGTTATGCTGCAGCTCCAAATGCTTGCTCAAAGAGCCAGGTTTTCACTCGTTTTTGAAAGGTCAGGAAGGAGAGGGCCGATCTAATATTCCTGGGAAGGGAGTTCCACAGACGAGGGGCCACCACTGAGAAGGCCCTGTCTCTCGACCCCCGCCAAGCGTGCCTGTGAGGCAGGCGGGATTGAGAGCAGGGCCTCCTCAGATGATATCAAATTCCTAGCAGGTTCACAGGGAGAATATGTTCAGATAGATAAACTGGGCCGGAACTGTTTAGGGCTTTATAGGCCAAAGCCAGCACTTTGCATTGTGCCCTGTAGCAAACTGGCAGCTAGTGGAGCTGCGGCAACAGTGGAGTAGTATACTCCCTGAGCGCAGCTCCTGTTAGTAACCTGGCTGCCACACACTGGACCATTTGAAGCATGAAAAATAAAATGTTTGTAGTGCGATACATTTTGGAACAAGGTGATACTTTTTATTAGAAGTGAGGGTATAAGGCATTGCACTGATTGGAGGTATGCATGAGAAGCTGGAGCTGACAGATGGGAGCTCATCCTGTTTCCCAGATTCGAACCACTGACCTTTTTGTCAGCAGTCCCAGGACCGATCCTGGGATGTAGGGCAGTGTAGATCCAGCCTATGTTGGCTAGAGCTGATGACAACTGTGGTCGAACACTATTGGGAGGGGCTGTGTTTTGTCCACTCCTCTTCTAGATCATCAGGCTTTCCCACTCACCTTTCTTCAAGGGGAGGTATAAATATGTACCCCAAAATTGGGGTGTGTAGAAAAACTGTTTTCACGAGAGGAATGCACACCACATATGGCCATACATACAAAAAAAAACACAGGATCCAGTATAAATTCTTAAAATGCATAGTGTAGATTAAATTACCTTTTCTGTGAGCTGCTCAGGAACACGCATTCATAGGGAGAGGAGGAAGTGAAAGCAAAGCAGAACGATTAAAATCCAAATAAGCACTTCTAATTCAATACAAATTACAGAGAGAAATGTCATAGGTTTTAAAGGATATGCTAAACTTCATGTTATGATGTAGTATCAAACCACTGCATTATGTTATGATGTAGTGGTTTGATGCTCTTTAATGAAACAGGAGAACAGGAAAGGGTATCTGAAAGACTTGTATCTGTGGTTTCATTTATTTACATTATATAAATATGTCATCTCATGAAATTTTCTAGGTCCTCCAAAGTGACTCTATGATATTCTTTGGCCAAAAGCCCTTCATTTCAATAGGATTTGCTGTTATCTGTCGTTTCTTGTATCTATGGGCCATACTGTACCTCTGGTTTGAAGATCTAGTATGGACATCTATAAGGCTGGATCCGCACTACCCTATATCCTTGGATCTGATCCCAGATTATCTGTATAACCCAGTGTAGACTTGTATAATCCAGTTCAAAGCAGACAATCTGGGATCAGATCCTGGGATATAAAGCAGTGTAGATCCAGTCTTAGTGAGCCTGAGAATTAACTCCAGCTCAAACCAGTGTAGACAATACTGAGCTGAATTGGTCTGGCTTTGTATAGGGAATGTTACAGTTGCACCTCTAAACATTATCTTAATAAACTGAAACAATCCCATTCTTGAATGAAGGTTTCTTGTAAGAGTAAGAACATGAGAAGAGGCTGGTTAGGTTAGGCCATTAAAAATTACACCTTGTTTCCCCACTTCTGAAAAGCCTATACGCAAGTCACAAAATGAATAGTGTTACTTTGTTCTGTGGACCCATCTACATTGGCATGTAAAATCCAGATTATCTGCTTTGAACTGGATTTTATTTATTTATTTATTTATTTATTTATTTATTTGTATACCGCCTTTCTCAGCCCACGGGCGACTTATATGGCGGTGTAGACTCATATAATCCATTTCAAAGCAGATAATCTGGATTTTACATGCCAGTGTAGATGGGACATGTGTCTCCACTATCTAGCATGGATAGTATTTGGAATGGATATTTCAGTGCTATTGTTATGTGCAAGATAATGTCTGCGTGAGAGTGTGAAAAAACTGTATTTTTCATGGCACAGAATTACCATATATACACAAGTATAAGCCGACCCCAATATAAGCCGAGACACCTAATTTTACCACAAAAACTTGGAAAATATATTGACTCGAGTATAAGCCTAGGGTGGGAAATACAGCAGCTACTGGTCAGTTTCAAAATAAAAACAGATAACAATAAAATTATATTAATTGAGGCATCAGAAGGTTAAATGTTTTTGAATATTTATATAACATTGTAATTTAAGATAAGACAGTCCTGTCCAACTCTGATTCTAACCTTCTTCAACGTAAATGTGCTTATGTATCCTTCCAATAAAAATAAAGAGAGTAACATAATATAATAATAATAACAACAATAATAGAGTAAAATAATGGAAATGTAATAACAGTAATAATAGAGTAAAATAATAAATGTAATAACAAGAATAAATAGAGTCAAATAAAACATGTAATAATAACAATAATAAAGTAAAATAATAATGTAATAATAACAATTGAGTAAAATAATAAGTGCAATAATAATACATAGAGTAAAATAATAATAATAATAATAATAATAATAATAATAATAATAGAGTAAAATATTAAATAACGTTGACCGAGTATAAGTCGAGAGGAACTTTTTCAGCCTATAAAAACGGCTGAAAAACTAGGCTTATACTCGAGTATATACAGTAATTCCTTTTGCAGGAGGAAGAGGGATCTCGTCGCTGTTGTTTTTTGGATTATAATTCCCATCATCAACCCTGATCATAAACTATGATGGCATGATCTCCTTGTAATCAACATCTGGAGGACAGCAGGTTTCTCATCCCGACTCCCTGCACTTAATGGGGAGATATTTTCGTCCAAGCAAATGTAATTACTTGTAATTGCTTTCTTTCATCAAGTTCCCCAGTCCCTTAAAATCGGATGTATTATTTTCCTCCTAAAGCTTTTGACTGATCACATCCAATTCTGAAATTGTTATTAAAATATTATGAATTATTTTAACCTTCTTCCCAAGGAAAACTACAAATCCAAGAGTAATGGCTACAATTGATGACAGAACCCATAAACAATCATTGTGCACCAAAAGCCACTCGTGAAATGTTCATATTGTTCTTGGCTGGAGATTTTGGAGAACATGTCTATTAAAATTCATTTAAATATAGGTGATATCTATTTAAATACCAAATGTTATGCATTTATAGAATGGTTTAGTGATTTGAGAGTTGGACTATGACTGTAGACACGTGGATGTATTCCTCCTACTACCTTTATTTCAATAGAAATTAAATTCCAGCGGCAGCATAATTTATGTTAGAAATTTTATTTTTTCTCCAAAATCTCCCAAATAGAATATCCAAAAGAGGAGTAAAAGTGTAGTGACCCAAGTACCTAAGGTCCCAGGTGAATGTTGCTCATGCATTTCCCACCGCCCACATACATACATACATGCACTGTTGTTGGAGAAGCCATTTTGCTGAGTGCTGTTGACATACTGCTTAAACACTAGAAATTGGAATGTAGTTTATGAAAGTTCTATATATGTTACTCAAGTTATTTATCTCTACATCCTTATTTTATCTTTTATTCTACACATGTACTCGATGTACAAATCTGAGATGTTACCACTAACTCAGAATGAAGTGATACATGAAATTTAACAGAAGTACTTGAATAGTCATTCAGTTTACAACACTTTTAAAAACTAAATTCCATACATTGCTTAGTGGCATTTAAAAAGCCTATTAGCAGCTCTTTCCACGGCTTATTCATTCATTTAAATTGAACTTCCTGAGCCCTTATAGTTGGAAACTATTGCCATGCTATCAGCCAATGCTGTGTGTTTGGTATTGGTGGTCCCACTGCTAGCAACACAGCAAAATCTGAGCAAAATTTGAAGTTATCAGGTAAAACATTAGAACTCTAAAACTATATAAATTTATTTTCTCTAATATTTCTCAGGAACATCAGAAGGGAGTGACTATGGCAAATGACTACTGTGGATTGGAAGGCGGAATGATAGCAATGGGCATCTATTACTAGCTGCAAGGACGTAAACCTTTGTGCTTTTGTTCTATGTGTTTATAGCAACACAACATTTACCCATCTAATTGGCTCCCTCCATATGGTACAATTAAAGGGCGGCTGTATTACATCAAAGACTAAATGCGATGGCAGTTAGGCAAAGCGAGGAAGGAMTTYTCAAAGTAAGGCAAACACATTTTTAAACAACCGGCAGTTGTTTAAAACAGCAAGCAGATAACMCAATCTTAAAATACTCAAGGTTCCWTATGACATKATGAACCTTCAATATTTTTAGCATRTTCTGCACAAATACAGTGCAGTTGATGTATTTGTGCTCAKGTTTGCCTTGAATGAATTTGTGCTCATGTTTGCCTTTGATGAACAATCTKGTAAATTAGTTGACTGGCAATAGTTGTCCTWGCAATATTCAATTTAGYACAAATAGAACAAACTRTTTGTRAGAATGTGTTGTCGGAAATTACTCTRAATMTCCTGGGWGCACATTTCCATCTCAAATKTTCATTATATTMATATTAGTTAAAGATACATTKAATATTTAAACKGAGKAGATGGCAGGTARCCCTGTGATTRCCATTCCTTGTAATTGCCATTCTTTTCAAATGCACACCTGTGTGAGGGCYCAGGTTGCACTTTGCAAGTTCAATATAATTAAAATATATATTGTAAATACTGAACCCTAGGAACTGCCAGTGAACAAAATATAGCTCAAACATTATTCATCAATTTATTSAGTGAGTAATTTTGAACRTAGCAAATTTATTCTAAAGCTGCAAGCAGACAATATGAGAACACTCTACATATACGCAAGAAAATTGTGATTATTCACAAACTTTAAGATTGGAAGAATGATGTTGGCATTTTTCCAGCCAAAACATATATTGGTCAACTATGGGCCTTTCCACACAGCCCTATATCCCAGAATATCAAGGCAGAAAATCCCACAATATCTGTTTTGAACTGGGTTATCTGAGTCCACACTGCCAAATATCCCAGTTCAAAGCAGATATTGTGGGCTTTTATTCAGCTGTGTGGAAGGGGCCTATATTACTGAAGACCATGAACCAATTGATTTACTATCCATCAGATACAACCACCTTCAAGTCTACTGTGCTCTCCAAAACTAGTTTCAGAGGACTTTCCAAACCTTTGGCAGATTTTTGGGACATGGGAGCGGTGAGGATTCAATACGAAGGGAAGACTATCCCAATTCTACTTATAGAAGTGTTTCCATCAGTGAATTGGTGACTTTGCATCAGGGCTTCTAGCAAATGTCCAAACAATTCCATTGGCCCAGTTTGCATTTGCCCAAGAGGAAACCAATTAATCATTCAAAACTGGAAAAGGAATAACAACATACCTGTGATGTTAATAAGGGCTGTGAGTCTTCCACTTCAATTATCACATCCCGCCGTGGTGCAGCTGATAAGAGACTAACTGAAAATAAAAAATATCAAGAGAGTGAACAGAGTTTGAGTCTCTCATAACACATCTGTAAACTTTTGTAATCTAAGGCTTCTACACTGCCATATAAAATCCAGGTTATCTGCTATGAACTGGTTTATGTGGCAGTGTAGACTCATATAATCAGTGTAGACTCAGATAATGTGGATTATCTGCTTTGATAATCTTATTTATATGGCACTTTAGAAAGAACCATAATCTTAGTTTTTATTTCCTCCCTGCCATTCCTCAGTTTACGACATTCCTCTTTGGATGAAAAATCTATACAGCCTGTATTTTGCTGGGACCAATTTCAAAACATACATGCTCAAATGTCACCCTAATTATTTTGTACCTTTCTGTGGATTTTGATTTTAAACAGTTTGGAGAAGCAATGGTTTAAATCCAATTGTGAGTCCCAATGAGAGTAGAACTACTGAATCAGCCAGAGCCTGACATAAATTGTGTTCATACAACAGATCTACTCATGCTAGGACTAGAAATGGGAAGGCCTGGGAAAAAAACCCAGAAATATTGGGGGGGGGGCAGAAAAAAACCTGTGCCCATTTTTCTATTCTCTCCCCCCCCCCCCCAGCTTAGGACTCCAGTTAGGACTAAATGGCACTAACGCCAAACTATATATGCGTGCGTAGATGATCAAACACTCTGTACCAAATTTCCAGCATTTTAATCTTATGCAGCCAAATGTAAATCAAAAGTGTACCAAAGAGAGAGGTATGAACTGGTTTGGGAGAACTATCAAAAGCAACAGAGTACTCTTAGAAGTAAGGGGGCTATGAGATAGAACATTTGGGCCACCCCAATCTGGGTTGAGATTCTTGAATGTACGTAAACATTGATTAGGGGAAAGGCAACAGCAAAAGGTGAAACTGTGGTTAAGAAGAGAAAGGAATGGAATTGATGGATTCCTAAACGGTTCTGGTCCAACTTGCCTGTCCAAACACATCTCCTCCTATAAGTCAACAAGAACTTTAAGCTGGGGAGGCCCTGCTCTCGGTCCCACCTTTTTCGCAAGCGTGATTGGAGGGGACGAGAGACAGGGCCTTCTCAGTGGCGGCCCCCTGGTTGTGGAATTCTCTCTCCAGTGACACCAGGCAGGCCCCATCTCTTCTGATCTTCAGAAAAAAGGTAAAGATATGGCTCTGTACACAAGCATTTGCGAATACATTATTACCGTTCCAACACAGTCTGAATAAGGATTATAAGCACTGATTATAAATGAATGGAATTATGCACTTTATATGCTTTAGTCTGTTATTATTCTGTGTATTTTATTTGCTTACTATTTTAACTATTTTTATTTTATGGGATATGTTTTATAACTATGTTTAAGCGGCATTGAATATTGCCGGAGTTGTAAGCAGCCTTGAGCCCCCCTACAGGGGTGAGAAAGGTGGGGTATAAATGAAGCTAATAAATAATAATAATAATAATAATAATAATAATAATAATAATAATAATTCCTGAAAAATCAAACTTGCAGTTCCTATGTGTATACAATTAATGATACATGGACTAGAAAGGTTAGACTAAGGCTCCTTCTACACTGTCATATAAAATCTAGATTATCTGCTTTGTAATGGATTATATGGACTCCAGTTCAAAGCAATAATGTGGATTATAATCTGAATTATGTGGCAGTGTAGAAGGTTCTTAAACCACAGCACCAACACTTGTAATAATCCTTTCTGCATATGCTTTTTAGTGCCTTTACTGAGCTTCCTCTTTCACTGCGAATAAAATCCTAGATTCTTTAAAATTGGTGCAATTTGTAAGTGCAAGGGTACATAGTAAAATTGACTGAAAATGTATACATTTCATAAAACTTGAGTTCATTTTTTCATAGATATTGGTGGTGGTTGAGAGTAACAAGGTATACATCTGATAGGAAAAAATGGCTTCACTTTTACGGCAAGTCTTACCTTTCATCTGTGGTGCAACATCTTCTTTGGTAGCATACGGATCACAACGGAAATGCTCCAGTACATCAATGGTACATTGTCCCACGATAGGTTTACGGCCAAATTGCCTGTGGTCTATCACTTTAAGGACTAGCGACGGAGCATACAATTCCTCTTTGGGCATTAGCTATTTTTTTTAAAAAAGGAACATTATTTAAATTCAAAACCATAATTCTAAAGGATCCTTCATTTTCAGATGAAATATAGAAAGACCCCGAATGTTTGCACCTTTTAAATGCACAAAAATAGTTCTTAGGCACTGTATTAGGCAACAAGGACAAATGCAGTGACCTGCCCTCTATGCACACTAGACACTATATTTACTTGTATCTACCAAGATCTAATCACGACTGTTGGCGGATGCAAGTAAACATAGTGTCCAGTGTGGACAGGAGATCTAAAAATGGTGTATACAATATTCCTGCACTTTGTATAGTGAAAGTGAACACCGAGTGAATTTAGCATCCAAAATATATACCTACCCATCTCTATCCTGATGAGGATGCAAATACATTTCTATAACTGACATGTGAGCCACTGTGTACAGTATGCTATATGTCAATATCGGTGCCACATATTGCTTTGATGCACACAAAAATAGCTGGAAAAGTCTAAAATGAACCTTATGGGCAATTTCTGTGTTGAAGTTTCATAAGCTGAGTATCCTACCCCTTCCCCAGTATCACAAATGATGATTTTAAGAACATGTCATACCACTTTCATGAAGAGGACAGATCCAGGGAAATTTGGTGTCTTCTTCAGGTTTTTGATCACTACCGATTCCACCATTTCACCTCCACACTCTACAATGAGACTAGGGGAAGTAACAGAAGCCATTTGATAATTTTTCATGTTGCGCAAGCCCCAGGCAAGGATCTGTAGGAAAAAATAGCAAAAGTCCCCAACCACAATTAACAATAACGAGGGGGGAGAAAGCCTGACCTTGCTAACAAGAAAGGAACAGCATCACTATACTTAGTTATATCGCTAGAGACAATAATATTAATAATATAAAATACTATCATATTATTAAAATAATAAAAATATTCCAATAATCCAGGTATTACCGTCCTTCCTCTCTACCTTAGAATTATAAATAGGAATATAATAATAATAATAATATATAAATAATAGTAAATAATAATAATAATCTTTATTTATACCCCGCCACCATCTCCCCAACGGAGACTCGGAGTGGCCTTTTGGATATTTACTCAACTACTATATTATTTGGTTGTCTAACTGACCCAAAATTTCAATTATTTTATAAGTGGACTGATATAAAACCATAGAATTTTTTAATATATATCAAACCTCCTGTTTTTTATGTAAACTCCCCATATATCTTCCCAAACCAACATTTTTTGCGCAAGATAAACTGATTGCTACAAGAAATACAGTCTTGTGAATTCAGATGCAGGGCTGGAAGACACTGACTAAAGCCCCTTCCACACAACTGTATAAAATCCCACATTATTTGCTTTGAATTGGAATATGGCACTCAGTGTGGACTCAGATAATTCAGTTCAAAGCAGATATTGTGGGATTATCTGTTTTGATATTCTGGGTTATATGGCTGTGTGGAAGGGTCCTAACTGAAGGTCAAGCTTTGATTTGAATCAGGAGCATCCCAGGTCATCATTGAGGATCCAACCACTTCATTGTAAACATAGCAATTTAATTATTTAGGGGCTCTTTAGCATATAAAGCTCTTTCCCTCCCCCTTATTTTTCTTCCCTTTTTTCTTTGCAAAATCAGTCTGGAGCGGAATCTTGCACAAAGAAAAAAAAATCTCATTCAGATATTTTGCTCTGAATGCCTATATTCTTCTTAATCAAAAGCAGAAACAGTTGTTTGTTTCGCAGTGTCATGTTTTAGTTTCTGGCACTTGCACCAGAAATATGGATAATTTACTTTTTTGCAATTGCAACTTCCAGAATCCCCCAGTCAGAAGACATGCTGTTTGGAAGATTCTTGGACTTGTAATTCAAAAAACTCCCCAACTGCACTTTGTTTAGTGCATGGAAATGTGAGTTGAGGGTCATCAATCTTACAAACTCTGGATTATTTGCATTTTTAGGATATATCCACAATACCTCAACAGCAGTCAGCTGAACCACAGGCCTGATTCCTTGTGGCACCATATAAAGATTTGGTGCTCTTTGTGAGGGAAGAATTGGAAGGTTGGTGCTGCCCTGTGTAGAGATACAGAAAACTTATATTCAGCCTGAAATATTAACAGAACTCTTCCCATCAAGATATCTGAAATACTGACTTATTTGATATTACCTTTTCACTCAGGATAAGCTCAGCAGCTAAAAGGACATCTCCACAAGTCTTGCCCCCATTTATAACTGGATACCAGAGAAGCTTAGGACTGATGTCAGTATCTGGGTTGAGTTTCACCATAGGAGAGCAAGAAGTCTTTCCAAGGAATTCATCTTTCCCCTGAACAAATGGGTGAGTCCAAAATCATTCATAGGATTGGCCAACCTACTAACCTTAAAATAAACCAAGCAAGAATTGACAAAAATGCTATCACCTACCACTTGGTCACTGTCAAAGAGTTCAACAACGACATGAGGAGGATTTAGAGCTACTGTTTGGGGGTCTCCATAGATTTCAATCTCATCAAATATTACAGTTTGATCCCATGTTGGGTTCAGTGTTGAGTGGATGACTTCAGTTGTTTTACTTCGGTGGAGGAATGAAACATAAGCGTATGGATCTGAAGGAGCACAGAAAAAAGCAGTCTATCTCTGACTTGCAATAAGTAGATGTGTACTTTTTGATTTTTGTGTGTGGCTGAAACCAATGGCCACAAAACAGGTTTGATTCCTCATCCCTAGTTAAAACCAGACACAAATTCAGCCACAGCAAAAGGGCTACAGGTTCTTCACTGTCAGTTACAACCATTGAGTAGCTCCTCAGGGTTTTAGGTTATAGTCTATTGCAATGGTTCTCAACCTGTGGGTCCCCAGATGTTTTGGCCTTCAACTCCCATGCATCCTAACAACTGGTAAACTGGCTGGGGTTTCTGGGAGTTGTAGGCCAAAACACCTGGGGACCCACAGGTTGAGAACCACTGGAATGTAACTACTAGCTTCAGTAATATTAAGAACTGAATCTGAAATCTTCTGCATGCAAGTTTTGTGCTCTATCATTGAGCTATGGCCTTTCTTACTCTTCACCCTCTCTACGGTATGGACTAATAGTTTTGACATAATAAGAACAAGAACAACAACAACAACAAATTTATTCTTGTATCCTACCAAAATCACCCTGAAGTGACTCGGGGTGGCTTACAGAGGCACAAAGTGCCTAAAAAAACATAAAAGTGAACACAATATAAAATACAATAAAACAAAATACATGCACATATAAAAACATCAATTCAGACTCAATCAAGCTGCGACTCTCTAACTATGGTGGTAAATTACTGGCACCATGGCTGGGCTGTAAACATTGGAATAAAATAAATGCAAGAATTACTAGAACTTGTTTCAGAATTAGTAAAGTATATGTGGAGTATTTTGAGTCCTCAGGCTGGATCTACACTACCATATAATCCAGATTACCTGCTTTGAACTGGATTGTATGAGTCTATACTGCCATACAATCCAGTTCAAAGCAGATAATCTGGATTTTATATGGCAGTATAGAAGGGTCCTCAGAAGGAGTGCTATATAAAGATTTGTCATCTGCCACTAATAATGCTGATGTACTACTAAATGTAAGAACTGCCATTTCAACCAATAGGGATACGAACACTGGTTGAATGCCACTAGTTATGGCTATTAATAAGGGAATCAAAAGGGATACATAGGATGGAGGAGGAGGAGGAGGAGAAAAGAGCATTATTTGTTATAATATGATCTATTGGGGATCAATATAGCAGGATGGTCTTGCTTTGCTAGTCTCATATACTATAGAGAGTGTATAAATGTTAAAATTTGGTTGCATCAGTGAGAATACTGCTAAGGGATTCTCGATATTGCAGTTCAAAAAAGAAACACTTCTAAGCTCAGAGTGTGCTGGTGTGCAATTCCAAGTAGCATTCAGACACATAGTTGTGTTGGTCAGGTATGCAAAAGAATCTTGCAGGAGCTTTGAGGCTCTTTCTGTTAGTCTTAAAAGTGCTACAAGACTGGGTTGTGGTGCAGCTGCATTAAAATCACTACTGACTGAGAGGTCATGAGTTCGAAGCTAGCCCGGGTCGGAGTGAGCTTCCGGTCATTTGTCTAGCTTGCTGTTGGCCTTTGCAGCCCAAATGACAGTTGCATCTGTCAAGTAGGAAATGTAGGTACCGCTTATGCAGAGAGGCTAATTTAACTAATTTACGATGCCATAAAACTCTCCAGTAACGTGTAAAAAGAATGAGGAAATACTCCATCAGTGTCACAAGTGGATGCTGAAGCGGCAGCTCCCCTGGTGGCCAGAATTCAAAAAGCATACCTTCTTGAAAGCTGGAAAGTTAAATAGCCTCTGTGTCTCTGTCTATATATGTTGTGTGTCTATGGCATTGAATGTTTGCCATGTATATGTGCATTGTGATCCGCCCTGAGTCCCCTGCGGGGTGAGAAGGGTGGAAGATAAATGCTGTAAATAAATAATAAATAAATAAGACCTCTTTGTAAGGCAAAGTAGTGTGCAAGTGTTCCCTACAAATGTCTATAGAAAATGATGTATGTCCCATAGAATCCATTAAATGACATGTTCTCTTGAAGGTAAATTCAGGGATTATTTGCAGAGGTGTAAACCACCTTCCTTCTCAAATGCCTTTAGATCTGAAGTCTGAGATGATACTGATCTTTCTGAGCCATCAATGCTACCTTACTTTAACCCTTTATGGTATGCAGTCTTTTGGTTTCTTTCAAAAAACCATATACTATGGAATTGTCAGCAAAAGACGGTTCTGAAAATACCAATGTAAAGAGGCACTGAGCTTGGTCTGTGATAAGCAGAGTGATATCTGTAGTGCAGCCTTATGCATCTTATCTTATGAATGGAAACACAGTGAGTCATAACATTCAGTTTACAGGGCTTGAACACATGTGCAATCATTTTAGAATAACTTCTGTACATGGGAATAACCCATTCCTGAGTACCTTGAATACCTATGGAACAACATCAAGAAGGAACACACAAACCAATGGTTTAACCTGATGGTTTAGGTTGCTGAAATTGTCAGCCTCACAAAGTTGAAATTTGGCATGAGTTGAAATCTTATTTATGACCTCGCTTTCTTCTGAAGTAGAGAGGTGAATGATTAAAGAGTTCTAGTCCTACTGTGAAAAAGACCTTTAAATCACAGGGGCCTCTGAAGAAGGTCTCTGATGATGGTTATTAGCACTTCCTGTACAAATTGTCATTGCCCAGGGATCCCCATGGGCTATTTGTAAGGTTATCTGGAGGTCATCTTCAGCAGCACCCTAACAAGGGATCTAAAGAAGGTGTAACATACTTTTATTTAAGTGTGGGTGTGTATAGGGGGGCAAGGTAAAGGGCCTTGAAGTTTATCAGTGGCCAGACTAAAAGCTGTAGTCAAATAGATCACTTTTCTAAACTGCAAAGTTGGACAACAACTTTGTGTTCATGCTTAATTTATAACAATTCCTATGAATGATTCACCAAAAACAAAGAAGGCTGAGTGGGCATGGAATATGAAAGATTGATGAAAATTCCCCAAACTTCAATCATCACGACTGATGACACATTTAATACTTTTTTGTGTGTGTCGGGAGCAGCTTGAGAAACTGCAAGTCGCTTCTGGTGTGAAAAAAATGGAAATTGCCAAGGGGATGCCCGGATGTTTTGATGTTTTACCATATATATTTGACAATGCACAGCAGAACTGAAACCAACTAGTGTTTTCATACCAGTTTAAAATTATCTTTTTATAAATACAGGTTAACTACTATTGGTATTATTTGCTGCTGTAAAATAATGAAGTTGCTCTTTATACATGCATGGGTCCTTATGATTCGATCCCCATCGCTCCCCAATGTTACCTGAAAAGCTGTCTTTGTCCAAAGCCAAAAGATTTCTGGCTTGATAGATATAACACCGAAGATGGTAGGTGTAGACTCCTAATAAATAAATAAAAGTTAAAGAAATCAAACAGGCATAACTGCAACTTCATCTTAGCTATTGTTTCAAGTCACTCTCTTGTACAGAAATGTTTCCTCTCATAATGAATTTCATTTGAACTTACGATCAAAGTAGCAAGAGACTATTGGAGTATTTGCACCAAATACATGCGTTGCTGAATCTTTTCCCTTCTCAGAGGTCTTGTCTCCATCGTCAGTGCTTGTATCTGCTCCCTAAGATTACATGTGAACATTATTTATCATATCCTGTGCTATGCTAATAATATAATATAATAATAATATAATGTAATATAATATATTGTATATACATATAATATTTATAATATTATAATGTAATACAATATAATACTAAAACTAATAATATGATATTATAATTATATATTTTATATTACATGTAATATTACTAATATTACAATATAATGGTATAGTACAATATAGTAATATTTAATACTGATATTGTACTATGTTAATAATATAATATATTGTATGCATATATATCTTGTAAGCCACTCTGAGTCCCCTTTGGGGTGAGAAGGGTGGCATATAAATCTCGTAAATAAATAAAATAAATAAGTACTGTAAAGCATCAACAATTGTACGTAGGTTACACAAAAAGCAGCCACTATTTTCAAGCTTGCAATCTAACAGCGTGACACATAACAGAGAGGGGGCGGGGGGAGGGAAAAGAAGCCCATACTAAGACTTTGTATGTAATTTAGCCCTTGAGTGATTGTACATCAGGGAAAGAAAGATTTAGCCATCAAGATGTTGGTCAGCATGGGCAATTGCATGGGAAAACTATGCTTTAGTCTACAACATATAGAAGGTCAAAATTTTCTACCTCTGTTGTAAAGGTTTGTGCTTTAATACTGAAATACAGAAAATTAAGATTCTAGAGCAGGCATCCTCAAACTGTGGCCTTCCAGCTGTTTGGGCCTCCAACTCCCAGAAGCCATAACGAACTTTTTCAATTGTCAGGAATTCTGGGAGTTGAAGGCCCAAACAGCTGGAAGGCCACAGTTTGAGGATGCCTGCTCTAGAGATCCTGCCTTATGTTAGAGTCTATACTCCCATACACATTTTTGATGATGTGATATGAAAGCCTCAGTTGTTTAAACTGCCTCCACAGGATCAGAATAAACATAATCCCACACTTCATGACCTCACTTGCTACCCTGCATTCAGTTACTTAATAAGGAGTTGTGGAAAAATTCAATTTATATCCCCAGTCTTGTTTCCTACCAGGAGTCAAGTCCATCTAGATGTTTAGCATTCTGTTGCCTTTCATATGCAAAGCTAAGTGGTCAATGAATTCCACCACCTCCTCAAGCATTTTCAAGCACCACTGGCTTATTTCAATTGAACTCTTGAGATTATAGCATTATAACCTTAAATGATAATAGCTGTTTGTACTTACAAGAGCACCTTCCAGCTTAAAGATGGCTGCTGCACCATGTGTGTCAGCAGGAGCCATTTTTCTCCTCCAACGCCTGCGGCGGAAAGTATCAGAACTACGTTGCTTCCAGTGAAACTGCCACCCAATTAAAGATGCAAATTCCCATCCTTCTCGATCTTCGTAAGATGGAGTTCCCTGAGACAATAAAAAAAACAACAACACAATACACATGCATCAAATTGAGGGATCAAGATTATGGACAAATTATATAATCAAGTTTTTTTAAAAAAATCCATCTACATTATTTTTATTCCCCCACACCATTGCTTTTAAACCAGCGGTTCCCAACCTTTTGTCCTCCAGGTGATTTGGACTTCAGCTCCCAAATTCCTAACGGCTGCTAAACTGGGATTTCTAGAAGTTGAAGTCCAAAAATATCTGGAGGACCAAAGCATAGGAACCCTTATTTTAAAACAAATATTGATGTTTAGTTGTCTTACCCTTGATGAAACTGTTTGGTTTGGATCTTTTCTCCGTTTACGAATCAGTCTCCTTCTTCTATGTGTATGATACATTTTCTCTGCTGCACCCCATGACTTTGGCTTACTGTCTGGAGGAATGGTAATTCCATATTCCCAACCTAAAATAATATAAGTAAAATGTGTATTGGTCATCATAAATTGACTCTGCCTCTATGACAAATATAGGGCTGTTTATATAAATTCTAACTATCAAAACTTCAGAGACAGAAAAGACTGGCTTATTCAATACCAGCAGTCCCCAAATTACAAACAAGATAGGTTCTGTGAATTTGTTCTTAAATTGAATTTGTATGTAAGTTGGAAAGGAATATTTTGAAAGAGCAACTCCAACCAATTTTTTAAAGCTTTGGATAATGTAGGGAAGTTTTAACACCCCTGTTAAAACTTCCCTGTTTTGCTGTTTGTGCCCCTGTTCAGAAGATTTCACCTCACTTTCTGTCTCTACAATAATTGGATTTTGAAAAAAAAAAAGGCTTTTTGTGGAAACAAAGACTGGTGAGAAGCTTCAGTAGGGACCCCTTTCCCCCATGATAATAATAATAATAATCATCATCATCATCATCTTTATGTGTACCCCATCACCATCTCCCCGAAGGGACTCGGGGTGGCTCACAGAAGCACTCCAAATATAACATGCAGACAAAAATACACAAGTATAAATACAATGACATAAGTATAATCAACAGTGCATAAAAGTCTCATGAATAAAATTATAAAAAATTGAAATTTATAAAATTCCTAAAATGCAGTGGAATCTGCTGGTTGGCTACCTGTCATACCAGTCAATCAAAGTGCGGGCAAGTACTATCAATGGTAACTTTTTCAGGAGTGAAGTTCCCTTTCGAAGGGTAGATTTCTCTCACTTCCTTTTGTCTCATCTGCATTCTTAGCTATGAGTCGTTTGCAAGTAAGATGTTTGTAACTCGGGGACTGACTGTAATTTGTAGTTACACAGTGTAGTTACTCACTGGAGTCATTAGTTAAACAAGCATTAGCATTTCTCCCAATCCTATATGTTTATTTTTATGTTTTCCACTTTTCCTAGCTAACTCTTAATATTTTCTAAAATACTTTGATTAGGAATCATGCCACCATCATGGTCATTTTGCTTGGTGTATTAAATCCTAATCTGGAGTGGGAAACTGTGGAAGTGTAGGACTGCATTGATCACTCACAAGAACTTGGAGAGTCAACCTCTACCGTACCCCCAAAATAATTTTTGCCCTCAAATTTCATCCATGTCTTCTAGGGAACATTTTTACCATGTTCTTGGTAGCTTGGACCTGAATCAGTTTGGCCAAAAGTGACTTGTAATATTCTGCGGTCTGTTTCATGTAATCCCCGAAATACAGAACCGGGTGGGAGGGGAAGCTTGGCAAAACAGATCAAGAATTGTTCTGAAACTTGGCAGGCCTGCAGTTGTAAATGGAGTCTAAAACTGAAGTAAGTTTCATGCAGATTTTAGTTTCTGATTTCTTTTTTGGACCAAGGCCAGACAGGGGTCCTCCCAATAGGGTAGAAATATCATTCAGGCCCCATGATAGAATTTGGGGAGAATTTGATAAGAAATGCAGACAGATTTTTTGACTCCTGTGCCTGTAGATCCCCTTTTCTCCACCCTTGTCACGATCCTTACCATTCTCATCCACTGCTCGATTGATGTCATATATCCAAGCATCATCGTCCCAAATCCAGCCAGGAGGGCAGGTGATTTCACTTACAGGTGCTGCTTTTTCTCCGTTCTTCAAAACAGAAAATATATCCGTGAAAGTTGCACTTCTTGGGAAAAGGCAATAATTGTATATACAGCCTAACTCTACTCATAATTCATTCAAAATCAGAACAAAAAGCATGGTACCACCTTTCATTCGATATTAACAGCTCACTGAATGTTGTGTCACAACAAACCTGTTAACTTTAAAACTACCACCAGATTGTTTTTGCTTTTGATATTTGGGACTAGAAACATTCAGACAAAATATAAACAGATCTGTCACAAAAAGCAAATCATAACTTTTTTCGGATCTGTGACATTGGTTTCAAAGTGCTTGTGAAGGCTCTAGCCACTCATGCAAAAACGTACCCCTAAGCATTAGTAGTGGCATTCTTTCATAAAGTCCTCTTCTGAGAGTCATATTCTCTTAGCAGGAATTTGGATACTTCTTGGGATGGAACAATATATTTAACCAGAAATTAGAACCAATGTCAGGGCAGATTGCTGAAATCTTTCCCTGGGTGACTAATAATAATAATAATAATAATAATAATAATAATAATTATTATTATTATTATTATTATTATTGAGGGAAAGCAACAGGAAAAACTCAGCCGCTATCAAGACCTCAAAATCGAATTGCAAAGGCTCTGGAATAAACCAGTACAGGTGGTCCCAGTGGTCATTGGCACACTGGGTGCTGTGCCAAAAGATCTCAGCCGGCATTTGGAAACAATAAACATCGACAAAATCACGATCTGTCAACTGTAAAAGGCCACCTTACTTGGATCTGTACACATCATTTGAAAATACATCATACAGTCTAGACGCTTGGGAAGTGTTCGACTTGTGATTTTGTGATACGAAATCCAGCATATAGATCTCATTTGCTGTGACATACTGTGCTTTTGAGTCAGTAAAATAATAATAATAAGGATTTAAAGATAGCTCTGCAAAGACTCTGGCACAAGTCAGTAAAGGTGGTCCCGGTGGTGATCAGCACACTGGGTGCAGTGCCTAAAGACCTTGGCCGGCACTTAAAAACAATTGGTGCTGACAGAATTACTGTCTGTCAGCTGCAAAAGGTCACCCTACTGAGATCTGCATGCATTATTTGATGATATATCACACAGTCCTAGACACTTGGGAAGTGTCTGACGTGATTGAATACAAAAGTCAGCATAGGGTTTGCTGTGTACTAATTTTGTTGTGTAACAAATAATAATAATAATAATAATAATAATAATAATAATAATAATAATAATAATTCTAATACAACAGCCATCAGAGTGTCTGCTGTGGACTCATCTTGTTGTGTTTCAAATAATAATAATAATGTACTTCTTATCTGCCTCTCCTCGTGGCTTGAAGTGGGTTAATCCAGGCAAAACTAATCTCTGATATTGCAGTTGACTGTGCTGGGGATGCTTTCAACTAATAGTGGCTGTTTATGTAGTTTTAATAATGCTGTATCTATTTGCTTTTACTTGGTTTTTAATTATGCAGGTATGAGTCTATACATTATGTAGTATTTTAAAGGTGCATCTTGCCATCGATATAGGTAGCATTTTAATGATTTATAGGATTTTATTGTGTATTTTACATTGTATTTAATAATCTGGTGTTCATGTATTTATTTATTTGCCTTAGACCATAGGCCTATGGTCTAAGCATCGAATAAACTACTAATACAATGTACTTCTTATCTGTCCCTCCTCGTGGTTTGAAGTGGGTTATGGGGAAAGGGGGTCACTCTTTCCCCCCTAAATATAATTCTTATAGTTTCTAAGGAGTCAGCATTTTTACCTGGCAGCAGATGCTCAAAGCTTGTTTCTTTAGAAGCCATTTCTACTAATTATGGTCAAAACAATTACAAAACAACTAGAAAAAACAGTAGCTAATCTTACATATTTTATAGGGTATATCAGCTGCTGGCTTATGGTACAAAACACACTCTTCCTGACTGAATTAATGTCCATAAGAGAGCATGGAGAAGCCGAGAAAGCCCTCTTCCATGAATGGAGAGGTTTGGATCTACCCAGAGGAACTGCCCCATTTGTCCGAAATATATGGCCCCTTCCATACAGCTGAATAATATCCCACATTTTTGTTTTGAACTGGAATATATGGCAGTGTGGACACAGATAACAGAGTTCAAAGCAGATATTGTGGAATTTTCAGCCTTGATATTCTGGGTTATATGGCTGTGTGGAAGGGCCCTATGTGTTGCTGATCTGAAGAGGAACTGTAACAGTTCAGATCACTGACTCAGGAAAACAATGCTCACCACATCTGTATATTCATCTTCGGCTGCTTTCCATTCTCCTCCAGGATAGCGGCTCTCATTTTGATACACTTCATCTGCAAACTCAGTATGACCAGCATCGGCTTCTGTCAACAAACTAAGGAATAGGAAGGAGACTTTTAGTACTCAAGATGGCACACTGACATTTCTCAACTTTAGTATAACACAAAAAAGTGATTTCTTCATTAGACAGAAAGGCATAAATAAAAGGGAGATATCTGGAAAATCTGTGGCAGACAAATTGATGTCTTAAAATGGAAAAGCAACTGGTGCTTCTATGAGTTCCCTTCTAGCTTTTATAAGTGCAAGTGCAATATATGGAGTCAATACATTAGGATTAAAGAAGACATTAGTCTTGCTCCCTACCTTCTTGCAAAACAATTCTTTCTGTTTTATACTGCCACCTCTTGGGCAAATTTAATTTGTACATTTCACTATGGAACACAATTTTTGGTCCTGGGTTTTAAATGTTATTTCCTAATTGGTTCTATCATAAAAAAAGGAAAAAGTTTATTACACTGCAAAAACTTGAGGGATATTCTTCGGCACATTTTGCTATAGTTTTTCAATGAATATCTCAGAGTCTCAACCAACTCAACATGGTTTGGGCAATCACGAAAACAAAGCTTCTGGAGTATAACAACTACTTTCAAAGTAAGTACCACACCATTCATCTTTTTTTTAATAAGGATCCTCAATTAAAATTATTTCCTGGCTGACAGTAAGGCAGTGATATCTAAATCTATAACTATATTGATATTTTCTATCTATATCTAATTTTGTATGTATATCATGTATATATGGAATGTTCCTTTTGGATATGGAAGGGCGAGGAGCAGAAAGGAGGACAACATCTCTCCTAACCAACTGTGCAAAAACACTGAAAATTTAGTTTTTGAGAAGATAGACAATAAATATCCTAGGACACTGGGATGGACTTGAAGCCAACAAAGATGTTTTGTATATTGTCAATATATCCTAAGGGGGAGCAGTGGCAGAGTGAGTTAAACTGCTAAGCTGCAGAAATTGCTGACTGGAAGGCTGGTGGTTCAAATCCGTGAGACGGGGTGAACTCCCATCTGTTTGCTCCAGTTTTCGCCAATCTAACAGTTTGAAAACATGCAAATGTGAGTAGATCAATAAGTACTGCTTCGACAGGAAGGTAATGGTGTTCCATGCAGTTATGCTGGCCACATGACTTAGGAGGCATCTATAGACAAAGTTGGATCTTTGACTTAGAAATAGAGATGAGCACCATCCCCCAGAGTCAGACACAACTAGAATTGGGTTGTTGTAGGTTTTTTTGGGCTATATGGCCATGTTGTAGAGGCATTTTCTCCTGACGTTTCGCCTGCATCTATGGCAAGCATCCTCAGAGGTAGTGAACTAGAATTAATGTTAAGGGGAAACTTTTATCTTTTATATCCTAAGATTGTACTGTTTCTGTGACTACACTAACCCTCCTGTTTAAGGAGCTCCATTGGCTGCCGTTTATCTACCAGGCCCAATTCAAGGTGTAGGTCTTGACCTACAAAGCCCTGAACATTTTGGTGCCCTCCTACCTGTGCGACCGTATTTCTATCTATGAACCCACACAATCCCTTCGATCCTCCGGAGAGGCCCTTCTTTCGCTCCCGCCCGCATCGCAGGTGCGACTTGCGGGGACGAGAGAGAGGGCCTTCTCTGTGGTGGCCCCCCGGCTCTGGAACTCACTCCCCAAAGACGTTAGACAAGCCAACACACTGGCAATCTTTAGGAGGAATTTGAAAACTTGGTTATTCCAATGTGCCTTCAGTGATTGAATGTAAGATTCTCCCTGACCACACTTTCCACAAAATGTCCTTTATTTATTTTTTGGGTTTATTTTTGGGTTGTGCAATGAAATCCTTCCTCATTCTTGGAGCCTCCTCCTTATAAGTTACATTGTCCTATCTCCCAGTAGGAGCCCCCGCTGGCGCAGTGGGTTAAACCCCTGTGCCGGCAGGACTGAAGACCGACAGGTCGCAGGTTCGAATCCGGGGAGAGGCGGATGAACTCCCTCTATCAGCTCCAGCTCTTCATGCGGGGACATGAGAGAAGCCGCCCACAAGGATGATAAAAACATCAAAAAACATCCAGCATCCCCTGGGCAACGTCCTTGCAGACGGCCAATTCTCTCACACCAGAAGCGACTTGCAGTTTCTCAAGGCACTCCTGACACGACAAAAAAAAAAATCTCCCAGTGTTTTTAATTTTTTTAATAATTTTATCCATGCATCTGGCCCTGCCTAGTGAAATTCCCTGTGTTTTTAATGTTTGATTTTATATTGTTGTGTTGTATATTATTTTGATTTTGCATTTTATGTATTTTGCTCATTTTACTATATTTTGTGTTATATTGCTTTTATTGTATTGATGGGCGTGGCCTCATGTAAGCCACACAGAGTCCCCCTGGGGGAGATGGAGCAGGGTATAAATAAAGTTTTATTTATTATTATTATTATTAATGACTGCCACGTAAATGGGTTCACAAGAGTGTTTTTATAGACTCCAAAATGCAGTGTTGTATAGCTTTCCTCTCCTGCAGAAGAGTTGAAATTTTCTCTGTGGAAAATTATGCAAACCTTTTCCTACATTTATTTATTCTGACTCCGCAGGAGACTCAGGGCAGAGCACAACATATATACGGCAAGCATTCAATGCCAGGACATAAAACCATAAATATACATAAACATTAAAATCATTATATCCACTTTAAAATCAGTTCCTTAAAAACAAAACAAAAACTGACCTTCTTTCAGGATCAACAAACCACTCGCCTTCCCACTCCCATCCTTTGGGAGGCAAAAAGTACTCTCTTTTTAATTTAATTTTCCCGGTGACATCAGAAAACTTGTGGCGGCCAACGAGTCCTGAAGTCCCCCATTTCCCAAACATCAGTGCCTGATTCTCATACTGTCAAAAGGAAGAACAATGCAATTAAAATGGTCCTCTAGTTACAGCAAATAGTCTGCCACTGTGTTTGACCCAAGGGGTATGTCCCAATAACACAAATATTCATTCAAACAGCCCTAGTACTTGTACTACTAGTAGAAGCAACTTAAATTCACCTATTTTTTCCTGTTTTGAACACAGCTTCACTTAATTCTGGCATTTCTTTACAAGTACAGTAAAGATCACAGAAGCATGCGATCCTAAGGATATATGTTGTTTGATCCCTACATTAAGTCCCATCTGCTCTGACCATTTAATGCAATTTCAAACCATTATTGAAGAAAGTGGTTTCGCTGTGCAGGTTTGTGTGTGTGTGTGAAAAACTGCAAGTCGCTTGTGGTGTGAGAGAATTGGCCATCTGCAAGGATGTTGCTCAGGGGACACCCGGATGTTTTACCATTCTGTGGCAGGCTTCTCTCATTTTGATACAGGAGAAGCTGGAGCTGACAGATAGGAGCTCATCTCACTCCCCAGATTAGAACCTCTGACCTTTTGGTCAGCAGTCCTGCTGGCACAAGGGTTTAACCCATTGCGCCATTGGGGGCTCCTTTTTGCCATGCAGATGATAACATGGGAAATCCTGGAACCAGTTTGAGGTCTTGATGGTTATTACACAAAACCATAGAATACTAGTACTCATTAAGGACTTTCTTTTGCTCACTTTTTTGGGAGTTGGATGCCTGGCTGCCACAGTTTGAAGCTAGCTTTAAACTGCATTAAATGATCAGTGCAGATGTGCTAATGTTTGAGAAATCTACACTGTGTCAGGTTGCGTAAAAATGTAAATGGGATGGGGGTTGGGGGGTGGAAATCTCCAGCATTCTCCGCTGCACAATTCAGGTTAAAAGAATAATATAAAAATATCCGTATACCTACCATTTCAGCAAAAACACTGAAAGTCCCTTCTGCAAAACTATTAAACTTCTTTTCCACTGCACTTAAGCCAAGCCAAAAGTTAACTCGCAACTGTACAGGGATTTTGTTCCCATTGTTCTTGTCCTGTGGGTACTAAAACATGTAAAAAGGGAAAAGGAAAGAACACTTGACCTCTGATGTGACATAAGTGTGAATAAAACATAAACAATAGAAAAATGAATGACTTAAGACTCAAGCGACATGTACGGGTTCGCCCAGCATTTCTATTACTTCAAAATAGTGCCTAAAGCCAGTGGCCTTTCACATTCAGCAGTAACCCAGAACAACTTTGTGCTAAACTTTGTCCTTGATTTGCCAACAATCAGGAAACAGGCACAAGGAGATTGCTAATTCTTTTCCTGTTTTTGTATTCCTGGTCCTTGCCCAACCCTGCCTTATTTTGAGAACTTGGAGATACTATACATTCTTAATATTTTCTTTCATAAGAGGTGTGAATTGTCGCGGTGTTATCCCATCATTAATACTCCGGCTATAACATTTTTATCGCTCAACCACTCTAATAACACTATGTAACAAAATGATAAATTTTCTGTTCCTGGTTTGGAAGTGTTATTTCCTGTGTAATTGTGTGGTACTTACTTTAAAAGTAGTTTTTCTACTTTTTTTTTTTTGGCTGCCACAAATTATGTTGAATTAGTTTATTCTGTGTTTAACTCGCCTGGGTTTTTAATTTGTTTCTACCCAGCTTTCTTTTATCCATTACATGTAGCTCGCCCATGTTATTGTGATTGTGATTATTGTAATTTTATATTGCTATGTTGTCTTTGTTTTATGTAATTGCGTTATTATTGTTTATTATCTGCGTTTTCGGTTTTGTTTTATTTTATGTAATTGTTGTTTTGGGCTTGGCCTCATGTAAGCCGCACCAAGTCCCCTTCGGGGAGATGGAGCGGGGTACAAATAAAGTTTATAAGTTTATTATATCCATTGAAAAACTACAGCAAAATGTGTTGCAGGATGTTTTGCAAAAAACAAAGTTTTTACAGTTTAATAAACTTTTTCCATGTTTTAATGACAGATCCAATTATAAAATGACATTTATAAACCAGGAACAAAAACCGTGTGATATAGTGTAATCAACAATAGAGGCACTCAATATTCTTACTCTTGCGAGAGCGAAGGCGGGGAGGGGGGGCAGGGGACAGTCTCACCTTGTCTCCTGCATATGTCATCAGTTGGGGACCCCTTCCCCCCACCCCCCAACACCAACTGCTGCTCTGGGCCAGAGTGAAGAGAGAGTGGGCCAGAAGACAGTTCCACCTTGTCTCCTGTGCTATGCTAATAATATAATTTATTGTATGTTGTTGTTCATTTGTTCAGTCGTTTCCGACTCTTCGTGACCTCATGGACCAGCCCACGCAGAGCTCCCTGTTGGCCGTCACCACCCCCAGATCCTTCAAGATCAATCCAGTCACTTCCATAATCCCATCCATCCATCTTGCCCTTGATCGGCCCCTCTTCCTTTTTCCTTTTTCCACAACATTATTGTCTTCTCAATATACAATATATTGAATCCCCTTCAGGGTGAGAACGGTGGCATATAAATGTAGTAAATAAATAAATAAATACTCTGAGAAATCTGAATTTTAGAACAATGTGTAGGAAATATGTGGTCGATGGATGTAATTGGACTCCGGCATCCATTGGCTCCAATCAGCATGGCCAATGATCAATCATAATGGCAAATGGAACCTGACAACACAAGGGGAAAGTACATATCCCCCCCCCCCCGTTATGCTTTTGGATTTGAAGAATAAGAATGAATTAAATGTTTAGAGAGATGAATATATCGCTTAGAAAAGGGAAATCATTTTTCTTAGCATGCCGCTCAGGGCCCCTTCTACACTGCTATATAAATCCAGATTATCTGTTTAGAACCAGATTATATGGCAGTGTAGACTCATATAATCCAGTTCAAAGAAGATAATCTGGATTATCTGTTTTAATAATTATATGGCAGTGTAGAAGATATCTTTCCTTGATTTAAATCAGTGGTTCCATCCTGTGGGTCATGGCCCACTGGTGGGCTGCGAGACCTAAAATAAGGGCCACACGACATCCAGGGAAAATTGGTGCCGGGGTGTGTGCCGCTATTGGAGGAGAGCAAGAGTGAGAAGGAAAGGGAGAGAAGGAAAGAAAGAAAGAAGAAAGGAGATGCCAATGTGTTGCCCTCACTCTTGCCAGCGCTTTCTCGGCCTTGGGAGGCTTCCCAGACTATGGCGGAAAAGATTCACCCGGAGGCAATTTTCTGAATCAGCACTCCTAATAACCAAACCAAATCTAAAGTTGACCAAAAACTGATTCGCAACTCTTTTGGTACTAATGTTGGAGAGTAGTCAAAGCAGTCCCTGGTCAAGAGGTCCCTGGTAAAAAAAAAAAAGATTGGGAACCACTGATTTAAATACAATTTATTCCCCTTTCTCTCCCTTGCTTAAGCTCTGAAAATAACTGCCTTCTACATTGTAAACAAACTCAAGCAAGTAGCGGAGCCCCACATTTTGAGGAGAAATCTGTACAAGTTAGTGTACCTTTAAAAAGATGGTTTGTGTTTTTCCACAATATTTTCCCGAACCTCCAGCACAGGTGGTGGAATATAAAACCTCATGAGCAGGAACGCGTGCATAGGCAAGCCGTGTCTCTCCCCGAATCATCCAGATGATCACATCAGGCATGCTATTTTGAGGCTTTTGTGTTTTATAAGGAAAAGAACGAAGAATACAGATTTTTTAAAATTTAAAAAGTAGAATTTCTTGTCAATCATCTCTAATATTAATCTCTAACTCTATGGAAGGAGAATTTATAGAATCGTAGAATCATACAGTTGGAAGAGAGCTCCTTGGCTATTCAGTCCAACCCTCTGCTAAGAAGCAGTAAAATCCCATTCAAATCACCCCCGACAGATGGCCATCCAGCCTCTGGGTTAAAGCCTCCAAAGAAGGAGTCTCCACCACACTCCGGGGCAGGGAGGTCCACTGCTGAACAGCTCTCACAGTCAGGAAGTTCTTCCTAATGTTCAGGTGGAATCTCCTTTCCTGTACTTTGAAGCCATTGTTCCGCATCCTTGTCTGCAAGGTGGCAGAAAACAAGCTTTCTCCCTCCTCCCAATGATTTTCTCTTACATATTTATACATGGCCTTCATCATGTCTCCCCTCAGCCTTCTCTTCTGCACGCTAAACATGACCAGCTCTTTCAAGTATCAACAGCAAAGAAACTCTACCTATTTTTGTTTTCCTGCCTGCTTTATTCCAAATACTAAAACAAGGCCCATTATCTTTCTCATGAAGATAATGGGCTATCCAGTCCAACTCCCTGTTGAGAACCAGGAAAATCACATTCAAAGCACCCCTGACAGATGACCATCCAGCCTCTGTTTAAAGGGAGCTGATTACTAAGGGATGCCACAAATGTGCTCTCATATGCACATGCTGCCTTTTTCTGACCCGATTCCTTCCTCAATCCCTTTTAATGATTTGTTCTTGCTTTCATTCTTGCTTTCTATCCAATCTTCTGCACTTGCCTTGGACAAACAATACAAACTCGCTCAAGAGGAAAGTCTTCTCCCTACTTGTAGCAGTACTGTTTTGAGAAAGTACCCATGGCAGCATCCACACAGGCAAAATAGTTCAGCCACTGTATGCAGTATTTTGCCCTGGTTTGACCCTGGTGTGCATCAATCTGAACCCGATGTATATTGACAGCCACACATCCCTCCCACATTGGGACAAAAGGGTATATCCATGAGTTCACTGCATCAGATTATTTTTGGCCACACAACAACAGTGGCTGCCAGTTTATTTTCTTTCCTGGCATGCATAAACCTATCAACCAATAGCTTTTCTCATTTACCTGCCATTTTAATTGCACGCTTGCATTTCCATTGGATGCCTCCCTCACTAGGCTCCCTTACCTGAGAAAACTAAACCTTCAGTTTTGGCCATGTAACATTTTAGCCATGTCATTAAGGCTCCCCACATGGATCTTTCTATGAAGTTAACAGGTTTAGGGGGGGAAATCCCCTACAGAATGGAACAGCTACCCGTATATTCCGGCATATAAGACGACTGGGCATATAAGACAATCCCAACTTTTCCAGTTAAAATATAGAGTTTGGGATATACTCGTCGTATAAGACTACCTCTCTTCCAATGCACACCAAATAAAAATTTTAAAAGCATCAGATTTGATTTCAATATGGTAATTTTCCTATTACTGTACCTCCTTCTCTGCCTCTCAGATCTTGCACATGCGCACCTGCACTGCTTCACTGCAGTCCTCAGGAGTGAGATCTGAGAGGCAGAGGAGGAGGTACGGTAATAGGATACAAGGGCAGGCCAGGCAGGTAAAAGAGGTGTGTTTTTCTGGGCCCAGAGCCACTGTATCTCTTTTTTCCAAACCCCCGGCACCCCGGGGCTTGCTCCGCCCTTCACTTACACCTTCCCGGTGAGGCACCCCTTCACCTCACCATTGGGACCACATTAAGTCCACGAATCCTGATGAATGGATTTTCTTCTACTGCATTTGTACAGCATCGCCCTTAATGCTTTCATACAGTCGCTGCATACGGTAGGGATGCGACTACTGCTATTTTTGAACTCCCCCCACAATATGCAGCAACCACAGATTCTACAATCCAGATTGGAAGTTTCAGCACCCGCTCTATAAGACTCCCGGCGTATAAGACTACTCCCACATATAAGACGACTCCCATGCATAAGGCTACTGCAGCATATAAGACGATTCCCGTGTATAAGACGATTCCCGTGTATAAGATGACTTCTGCATATAAGACGACCCCTGACTTTTGAGAAGACTTTATTGGGTTAAAAAGTAGTCTTATACGCCAGAATATGTTTGTAAAATTCCTAATAGCAATATTCCAGTCATCCTCAATCCAACAAAAATCACAGCCTGACTCTCTCCATGTTTTTTAAAAAATCTATTACCTATCCAAAGGAATTTATTCCAATAAGGAATCAGGAGTAAGTCACGCTGAACTCAATGGGATTTATTTCTGTGTAGGAATGTATAGTTGACACTGTTCATGAACTGCAGGTCACATTGCCCTATAATAGAGGCTTTCCCTTCAACTCTCTAAGATTTCCTGTTGCTTTTGATGAGCAGATTTTAAAACCACCAAATTTTATCCATTTTTACTCCTTTATCCCTGACACAGCTCTTCAATGACTTATGACAGAGTTTCCCACTCATTGCTGCTGATATTGTTTTTGTCTATTTGTGGTTTTTTTGCAGAAATAAAATTTTCAATTAGCACATCCCCCAAACTGATAACTCTTGAAAAATGTATTCAAAAAATCTCTTCATCTTATCACCTTGAAGAAAACATTAAAGTGATTTATTTTTGAATGCAAGAATGAAACAGGTCAATTTTAACTCCATAGCCTATACGAGTGCATATAGGTAGAAATATTATTATTATTATTATTATTATTTATTTACTTTATTTATATACCGCTTTTCTCAGCCCTCAGGCGACTCAAAGCGGTGAACAACATCGATACAAAACATCACGAGACAAGTATAGGGCAATTAAAAACAATTGTAAAATAAATCATTAAACATCAGTATAACAATCATTAACGCCTCAACAGTAAAATCAGAATCCAGTCTCAGCATCCATTATTCCATTCCTATGTTCAATTACATTGTTTAATCAAATGCTTGTTCGAACAGCTAGGTCTTCACTTTCCTCCGAAACGCCAGCAGGGAGGGGGCCAATCTGATATCTGCAGGCAGGGCACTCCACAGCCGAGGGGCCACCACTGAGAAGGCCCTGTCTCTCGTCCCCACCAAGTACGCCTGTGACGCAGGTGGGACATTGAGCAGGGCCTCCCCATATGATCTTAGTGTCCTAGTCGGTTCATAGGAGGAGATGATTTCGGAGAGGTAAGTAGGGCCAGAACCATTTAACTACATCTCATCTAAGCTTACTTACTGGTTTGGAATCAGGTCCCTTCTACACTGCCATGTAATCTGGACTATCAATAATCCACATTATCTGCTTTGAAATCGATTATATGAGTCTGCTGTGCCATATAATCCAGTTCAAAGCAGATAATCTGAATTTTATATGCCAGTGTAGAAGGGGCCTCGGGCCTTCTTGGTTTACTGAATTTGTATGTTGACTTTCAAGTGGGTCTCAAGGCAGCTCGCAGTCTATTAAAAACCCTTCCGAGGGAACTTTAAAAACATTCAAAATCACAATCATAAAACATTATATTGAATATGTTTTCAAAACATTCAGAAGTTTAAAAAGATAATTAAAACATCACAATAAAAATCTCCCTCACTTATAACCACTTTGGGGACCTCTTTACATTTGTTGATTTCATTTCAGTAAGTAAAGCTTGCATGGAGATATAGATTCACATACACAACGAGAGTGAGGGCCCTATTACATTACACTGCGCTAGCACTGTGATTCCACTTTAATTACCATGGCAACATCTTGTGGAATTCTGGGCTTTGTAGTTTGGGAGACCCAAGAGCTCTTTTCTTTGGAAAATTATCAATTTGGAAAGGCATGACCTTGTCAGAAATCATAATCTTTTGAGAAAAGGGCATTCATTGCCATTTAGGAAAATTAGGACTCTCCCTAGAAGATTTAAAAACTCGCTTGAGTCAACCTTCTCCTTAATAGTAAACATCCACTAGCATCCATGCTAGGCAATTAGGTTTCTACTGGCGCCTAAAAGCATACTATTTCTAAAATGGAGTCTGAGTCCTTAACAATCCCAGAACTCAATATATGGTCTGCAGCCCCTCCCACAACATAGAGTTAAGGAAAACAGCATACCAATACACACATATACAATACATTAACCAATCTGAAGTATATACATAGCAAATAACAAGTGGAGGATTGAAGAAGGTTGCTATTTCCAACAGCTTGTCTGAGAATATTAAATGGCCTTCTATGATCTGCGAAAGCCAAGATTGCATACGATGTTGCCATGAGAGTTACAAGTGGAATCATAGCACTATAACTGTGTAGTGTAAGACAGTCCTGAAAGAGCACAAGAGATAGACATGAGGAGAACAAACCTCTTCCGATAGTTGTATTAATTTATCCAACCAATCTTCAATTTCTGTCATGGTGGCCTTCACATCCATGGCTTCATTCCTCATCTTGGCTGCTGCCTCCTGAATCTGCATGAGTGATTTGAGCCGCAGTTTGCGGATCTGTGTGTCAAGAACTGTGACATTGTGCCTGCCTTCCAGGTGAGGAAATTCTTTACTGAAAGAAGAGGCAAAGTTTAATTTTTATTATGTAGGAATAAAAACTTCCAAAAGGAACACAATTCAATTGTTTGCAAAAATTAATATAGAACTGGACTAGAAGACACCACATCTCTCAAGTGAGGAGACTCCTACTTTGGGCCAGGGGCCCTTTCACACAGCCCTATATCCCAGAATATCAAGTCATAAAATCCCACATTATCTGAGTGTGGACTCAGACAACTCAGTTCAGATATTATGGGATTTTCAGCCTTGATATTTTGGGATATAGGGCTGTGTGGAAGGGCCTTAGGAGACTTGCTCCTGATGTATCTCCTTTACAATTGAGGCTCCTCCTACACTGTCATCTGCTTTGAACTGGATTATATGGCAGTGTAGACTCATATAATCCAGTTCAAAACAGATAATGTGGATTATCTGATTTGAAAATCCAATGTAGAAGGGGTCTGAGACACTTTGCATGCAAAGGGAATGGATTGTTTGATCTTAGAGAATGGCCATACTGCATTATTTGGAAACTGCAAAAGGAAAACCTCTAGGATAACTAACCTCAAGTCCTCCATAAGTTCATCAATTAGCTTTAGCCATATCTCAACCAACTGGTTTTCTGTCTTCTTTGCTTGTATTCCCGATTTCAAAGCTGTGATGTTAGATTGCTGTGGAATAACAAAATTGGATCAGCCATATTACCAAGTTTTTTTGGATGCATTTCTATTATGATTATTTTCTCCTTTACTTTATAGAATATTATTTGTGAAGGATTACCATATGAGAAGAAATTTCAGATACAACAAACAAGAACCTGAAGTCATGCATATTATGAAACTGAAGAACTTTAAAAATATATTCATAGACTAAGGCCCCTTCTAAGATGCCATATAACATCCAGATTATCTGCTTTGAACTGGATTATATGGCAGTGTAGACTCAGATAATCCAGTTCAAATCAGATAATGTGGATTATCTGATTTGATAAGTCGGTCTCTTTGTTTTTACAAAATAAATACCAATTAATGGAGGCGGTAAAAACTTCTAGTCCATTATTTTATATAGGTACAACATTAATATACATGGATTATATGAAAGAGACAAAGTCATTGATGACTTACCAATTTTTCTACTATAGCAAGAATAAGGTTTAAAGGGTCCAGCCTGTGACTTATATCCTCCCAATATGAAGTCAACGTAACCACTGGCTTTGTGTTTGACCAAGGCAGGTAGTAATAGTAATTTCCTAGTGGAAAATAAATGCGTTAATAGTCATTTATGGGGATATACCTTTGTACGAAAGAACATATATCACTTTGACATTTAAAAGACTTCTTTATGCTCCTTGGATGAAGTTTGGCAGAGGAATGTATCACCGAAAGCAGAAAATGGAAGGAAATGCCCTGATAATAAATAAGCACACAATAAAATACAGTATGTCGTGCCTTTGTAAAAGATACGTATCCCCAGCTTCCCCATTGTCCTTCCCAGCTTCCCCCATTGTCCTTATTGCTAGTTTTCTGCAAATGTAATACACACCATCAAAGACAGCACGGCTGTACTGAGTTGTTGATGCCAGAGGCTTACAGGTGGTATCAAATTTATTGCCGTAATTTCCAATACTAACTTCGAACTGGACAGCCTCTCCGATATCTTGCAACATGGTGGCAGAATGGAACACAGCACAGAGGCTGAATTGCCTTCTGCGCTGATATTTCTGTAGGTTCAAGCAGATACAATTATTTAATTGACAAAGTAGTTGTAAAGTGGTGG